ATCAAATACGAATCTTTCATAAGCCGCTTGCTCATCTATATAAATATACTGCTAATACGGTTTCCGGCTTTGACCGGCTCGCAGCCTCTGCTAACGGTTGTATTTTAGTGTCTGCTTTAAAAAAAAAAAAACGGAGGCTGGCCACAGTCGAAAATCGTTTTGATTCGATTTCCGCCTAGCTAGAATCGTATTCAAATCAAACAAGTTTCTGTACCACGAGCAGAAGCTACATGTACGAAGAGATAAAAAAGAGATATAAATATATATACATGTATGGTAAACTTCACACATATGTCGATGATATATGATAAACGAAACTGTCGCAATTTGCAAATGGCTTTAGCTATGTCCCCGACCCCGTCTGCGACGCAATAATAATGATAATAATAATAGCAACAACAGCAACAACAACAACAACAATAGCATCAACTAATCTAAAATCAGTTTCAGTTCTATGTTGGCCTTTTCCAACAATACGGAAGCCTTTCAATATAATTTGATTTTGTATCGGGGCGCTAATTGAATGTGTTCGAAACAGTTGGCTCTACGCTATATTTGAGGTCTAGAAGTCTCTCGTCATCGTTGGGCCCTCACTCCAATGTATTCAAATGTCGCCTGCGATTAAACTTAAACAAGTTCAGGGCTTTAGCCAATGGTTGCAATTCTTATTGGAGATATCGCTGCTCGTGTTTCTCTGTATATTATAGCTGGCCATGTCCGAGAAATCAAATGCTCAAGTATGTTATTACCTGGCCCAGATAGTACTCAAGTATCGGCTGACTTTCAGGCAAAAACCTTATCACAAATGGCGAAACGATCGAATTTGTATTAAAATGTTGATAAGTCTCTTGGCAATAGACCGGTGCGTGGGCGTGTCCAATGTTTATGTGCCTTAAAATAGCTAATAAACGCATTTGGTCAGTGGAACTTTTTGCTTCTTCGATTCGCACAGCTGGTTTGTGTCGGTTTCTGTTCTAGGTACTTTTTATGGCATGATTCAGTTTCATTATCAATAATCCATTAAATGACTTCGCGTTTCATTAGCTTTATCAATCGGTTTTTGTTTTCTTTCTGCATAAGACTGTTTCTTGTGTATGCTATCTAATCGGATACAGTGAACTTTCATTATATAATATTTTATTTTTATTTGAAAAATTCCTGTCACAGATAAGCGGGCATAATTTTACCAATGATTCTACTGTGAACACTTCTGCGATTTCCAATACTTATTGCTAATACAAATTATAGTAATACTAATTAAACGATAACTACTACTATATACTACTAAAACTACTACTTATACTACTACTACTACTACTACTACTACTACTACTGCTACTACTATTACTACTACTACTACTACTACTACTACTACTACTACTACTGCTACTACTACTACTACTACTACTGTATACTACTACAACTACATCTTATACTACTACTACTACTACTACTACTACTGTATACTACTACTACTACTATTATATTCTACTACTACTAATACTATTATTATATTCTGCTACTAATACTACTACTATTACTATACTATTCTACTAATTCTAATACTACTACTATTCTATTCTACTATTAATACTACTATTATTATATTCTACTACTAATACTACTAATAGCACTAGCATATACTACTACTACAACTACTATTATATACTACTACTACTATTATATACAACTACTACTACTAGATCTATTGATACTACTACTTATATATACTTATAGTAATATTAAGTTTACTCTACTACTAATAATGCCTTTACTGCTATAAACTGTTACATATACTACTATTACTACAAATATATTCTACTAATACTACAACTATATTACTAATAACACTACTACTAATGCTATTCCAACACCCCACTACTACTCGCCTCTACTTGTACTATTATTACTCGTAAAAATGGTTACTAATTCGAAAAATGCTATAAATGCCAAAAAGAAACACATCAATACCTATACTAAGGCAGCTACAAGCATTTGCTTGAATGTAATCGATATTACACTAACTACCCACAGTAATTAAAAAATTCGTATTCCCACAGGACTAATTGTATATGTCGTAAAATAGATTATAGTGTTGGATCGAACAGCTTGTGAAGGGCCAGCTCATTATTAACAATGATATAGACAATGATATAGACAATGATGCAATTAGCAGTCAGCAGTCAGCAGTTACGTAGTGCAGTTGCATTTCTTGCAAACTTTTAACTTTTCGCTCATTTAGATAATTGCTTAGACATGCAACTGGTGACACCAGAAAGCTAAGTCCACTCAGACAAAGTACTAGACGTGTGCATATAGCTGCACTTATATAAGAGGACGAAGGCCAATATACTCATAATACTGATATACTGATAATATCTGTGCTGTTATATCTGTATATCAGCTTATATGATAGTTCAGATCTGGCTAGATTAACCTTAATCTTTGCTAGATAAATTTCGCTTATGAGATATATAGCTTGTATATACGCTATAAATATTTATATATGTATATGTAAATTTTATAGCAACTCTATTAACGCATTCTGGAATTTCAGGGACTTAATAAACATTTTGAATGGTGTACTTTGACACCCATTAAAATTTCGTAAATTGCTTTCCTTAGTACAGATAGAACCTTGCAGTTGACAGCTGAACCTTTGCTAAATAAAACTTATATATATATATAAATATATATTTACATATATTTTATAACATATATGCGCGTATATCTATCTAAAACTGATAACTTTTGTAATTTTTTCATCAATTTTAGGAACTAAAAAGACATTTGAATCAGATACTTAACATTTCGTAGTTGCATTATTTTCACTACTCTGCTTATAATCTTCTTAAATCTATATATTATATCATATAATCTGCAAATATCTGAAATGCTAGTATCTTAAAGCTCTGACAGTAAGTAGTCTAGCATTCGAACTCTAATCTTCTTTAACCGTTTTATCTAATAGATTTCGTCCCTAGTCTTTAGTTCTTAAAGTGTCTTTTGGAACTTTCCGAACATTTTATAAGCTTCATAAAAGAAATTTATGTCGATTCTGGCAATTATCAAAGTCTAATTGTAATGTATTTCGAGCGGCATAAATTAAACAAACAGCTGTTTTCGTAGCCAATGTTTACTGTATTTGCAATCTATACGATGTCTGTTTACGATGGTCATTGCGATACAGGTGAGAGTCGAAAGTGGAATTTGCACCGACACACGCGATCGATCAATAATTTCGATACTCGCTAAGTGAAGAGAAAGAGGTATATATATATATATACTATATATATAGTTAAAGTCTTAGATATCACTTGGAATTTTAGATAACATTTGAAATTCAAGATATATAAATTTGTAAATATTATGAAATTTGAGATATCAGCTCAAATTTCTGATATATAGGTTGATATATAGTTGAAGTTTTAAATATCACTTGATATTTTAGATATATGAATTGTATATATACAAATTATGAAACTTGATATATCCCTAGAAATTTCACACATATAGGATGGTATATATAGTTCAATTTTGAGATAAATAGCATATATATAATATACTACAAAGTCAAGATATGAAGTTATATATATGTATATGAAATATCTTTGTTTATATATAGCAAATGCAAGATATATATCTTATATATCTTATATATTTATGCCTTATGAATAAACTTTTTCTGATTCCCAGTTAAGGCTTGGCCAGATACTTCTATAAATTTTTAACTACAACAGATTTCTATATAGCATATTTAATTAAATTTTATATTTATATTAAAATCAGCACTGCGCATTGCGCAGTCGCTTATGCCCGTTCACAATCTGTCTCCAGCTGCTTTGTCGACAACTTTTTTCGCACCAAATTCAATAAAAGAAATTCATGGTTTTTTTATTATTTTCTAAATAAATTGTTTTATTCTGTATTTATTTCATTAAATGTATAAATAATTCTCTTTACACGTAAACGTTTCATGTTTGCCACGCCCCAACCGGCCGCCCAGCCGCCCGCCAGTCACATGCAAATTGTTCGAGCTGTGTGTGTGTGAGAGTGTGTTTATATACATATAGCATGTGATTGCTGCTGCTGCTGCTGTTGGGGCTCTGGCGCTTGCTGGGGCTTTGCTGGCATACAAATAATTACAATAACATTAACGGAATTAATGGTGTTTCGAAATTATATTTCTTGTACTTGAATTGAACAGTTTAAACACTTTGCATTTCGAATATTTTCCTTCACTTTTACACATAGAAGAAACTAAAGCTAAAGTATGCATAAATCAAATGACAAACATAATTATATATATATATATGTTGTATATATATATATATATATAGGGCATATTATAATGAAAGACAAATAGGATAACATTTTTGACTTGATTTTTTGTTGGTTTTTTTTTGCAGCGCTACTTCAGCTGCTGCTTGAGTATACAATACATCTCTCTTTTTATTTATATATATATATATTGGGTGGGGCCAGGCCACACCCAATTTCTAGTATCTGTGTGAGTGTGTGAAAGTGTATGTGTGTGTGTGTGAGTCTGTCTGCAGCTCGTGTACTAAAGGAATGCTCTTCATCAAACACAATCATAATTATTTCATATCAAACTAGCTGTCACACACAGTCACACACCCACACACTCACACACACTCACACACACTCAACACTCTCAACTTTTGTTCTGCTTTGTTGTTGTACCCGTCAACCCAAATAGAAATTATTAAAAATTTTGTTTGTTTCACGAAAATAATGCCGACTTACTTGATTTATCATATTTATCTCAATATATATATATATTTATTAATAGTATCCATTATCAGACACTTATCTATACAATCCTCATAATAATATTATGTTTTATATATATATATACGCTTTCATATGTCTAGCACCCCGCACATTTTGAAAATAAACCTCACTTAAACAGAAAGGACCTCACACAATAGAGAGAGGAAAATAGAACTGTTTATCCTGATTCATAGATTTTTCTTATATTTTTTTTTGAGTTTTTCTTTTTTTTCTTTACTTTTTTCCTATTTGGTTTACATGATTAGAGCCCGCCCAGGAGTTGGCAACCGCTTTTACTATTTACTTAGTTTTCTCCACTCATTTTCCTTCCCTTTAAACGGCGCCAATATCACTTTGGTATCTGGCGGTCAGGTAGTTGGCCGCCTCTGTCATTTGTTCCAGGCACTGGTACAGACCATTCAAGTGTCTTTTGCAGCGACGGGCCAGCTCGGTGGCCTTGTCGCTGGACTTTTGGCAGGCGGCATCGGCTATGTCGCTGCCATCGGAGCTTTGCGCATTGTCGCTCTTGTTGCCATCCGACTCGAGGCCCGAGTCGATCTCGTTCGACATATCTGAATCGGAATCGCTCAGGTTGCTCACCGATGTGGTGGACATCATCGATGCTGTCGATGTCCGTCTCACATGGCCCTTGACACTCGCAGAGCTTCGACTGCTGCTGCTGCTGCTGCTGTTGCTATTTGTGTTGGACTCAGTCTTGATCTCCTGCTGCTGCTGCTGTTGCTGTTGCTGCTGTTGGTGTTGCTCCGCTTCCCGCTCTGTATTGTCTTCATCATCATCATCATCCTGATTGTTTGTCCACAGCAGATCCTTCTTCAGTGAGTTCAGCACCGTATACAAATTGAAGAGCTCCGAGGCGCTGAGGAACTCGTGCACATTCTTTGAGTGTGCCGCGCCACGTTTGCCCTCGGCACTGGAACTTTTTGTCAGCTGATTGGCGGTTGTATCCTTGCCCGTTGCAGGTATTATATCAGTGCTATCACCGATCTATTGACAGAGAATTGGAATAGAGAAGGCAACAAGCAGGCAAGCGTAAATTAGCTAAATTGTTTAAACTTTCTTTTCGAAATGGTGCGAGCTGAGAGTGGTTTGCTGTGCTCTTGAACCCACCTGCCGATCCATGAGCCTGCATGGCACCAGTATAGTATCATCCATTATGTTAACTGTCTTCACGAACTTCTCCATCACATTGACAATGCAGTCTTTGGAGAACTGCTGCTCATCGTGACGCGCAATGCGACGCAGGCAGTTCCTGAAAAGGGAGAGATGGAAAGAGAGATATAGTAGAGATTTCATATGCTGAGTACCCTTAGTAATATTACAATTTAGTGTTAGTTGCAAACCGGTTTTTGCCTGGAACCTGTTCTAATAAGGAACTTTAAGCCGCGCCTTAAGCAAAAATAATTGCCCCCAAAACATATGGAAAATCCCATTCATAATTCTAGTCAAAAATTGTTCTGAGTGGGCGAGGTTAAAACATAGCAATAAAAGAAACATTAAAAGGAACATATTTATATATATACATACATCTGATATTTTCAATGAAAGTTAGAAGAGCTACATTAACTTTGCTATTGTTGCAGCTCCGACATATATATGGATGTATGCTTAAAAATATAGAAAATAACTTGCATGAAGCATTATAAATCTTTCTCGAGATATATCAATAGTTAATTCAGTTCCTCATTGATATATGCTAACAATTTAAAAGATAACTCAGCTATATATAAACCACTAAAAATATATGTGTCTAAAGTTATATGCTTTATAGTTTCGAAGACGTCTCTTTAGCATTATTCACTCAAATTATAATGCCACAGCCTAGCCTAGCTTTGGCTCGTACGAAAACCCGTCCGTCACACGCTCGCTTCTTGGACAATAGCCGCCAATTGGCCATTCAATAGAAATAACCCGATATGGCAGCTGGAAACGTGTCGTCGTTAAGTCTGGCCACTTGTTCTTTTAACATTTCCGACATCAGATCAACTTCTTCTGGTGGCGTGATAAATACAAAATTCATTTCAAACTATGCAAATCAGTTGCCAAATTCATTAAATAGATATATATATAAATATAAGACCAACCACAAGACATAAAAAACCTGTACGCTCTGAGCCACTGATTTCTATTTCTGAACAGCAAGTGTCGAGTGGCGAGTGGCGAGTGTCTGTTGTCTATATATACATATCTACGGCTATATATCTATGTGTGTGTCTGTTTGGGTTTTCTCCCTGCGTCTTATGACTGTTTGCCTACCTGGTCTACGTAGTCAAGCGGGTCAAGCGCTTTGAGCCACGTGTCTTGCGAAAGTCATACACGCAAACTATTAGCCTTTTGAGTCTAGATAATGTTCTTCGTTCCATTTGTAGTGTAGACCCCGATTAACCCGACTCGTAGACGCCGGCTAGTCTCACAGTCTCACAGTCTCACAGCTCACAGACGTTCGAAGTTCAGAACGCTTATCGTCTGGAGCTGGAGTTGGCCACTCGCCGACTCTGATAACTCTGTAGATAATGTCTCGCGTGGCAGACGCGTGATCGTCTGGCCGCCTTGATAAATTTAGTTTTGGCTGCGCACATATATATATATATATATATATATATAAATATATACTTGAGGCAATCCCCCAACTATTAAGGCCAGACCCAATCCCCACCCAAACAGTCATGTAATCGTTTAGACTATTGATAGCTTCTTGTGGGCATGGGACACGCCGCCGCCGCGTGCTCAACCACGAAGTCACATAGTGTCAATGCAAAGAGATGTCTATTGCGACGCTTGTGTCAAGGTTTTTTCCACTGGTCATGCCATAGTTATTTCTCTATCTCTCTCTCTCTCTCTCTCTCTCTATGTCTCCCAGTCTTCTACATATGCATACCTAGAAACTTTCCTATTAGTCTGCATGACTAATTGAGCTAATTGAATATGGCATTTAAACGAGTTAAACGTCATAAGAAAATCCGTTTAGAAGGCGTTACATGCACTGTCAGTTACTCTATAACTAGAATGTGCACTCAAGTACCGCAGCTGTTTCCTAATAATTTCAATTGAAAATTGAGATGTAGTTGAGTAAATGTTTAAACTGAATGTATACGAAATTTCAGCTAAATAGCTTCTTTTTGAACAGCTTTTATAATTATAGAAACACATCTAACCTAAACCTCGACTCACTTGCAGTGCAATAAGAATATGAGAAATTTGTAGAATAAACATAATATGCCCAGCTCGTTGTTTACTTTTCTCTAGGGTATCAAATGAGGCAATCAGAAATGTGTAAAGCGCGCAATTATCTTATCAATAAACAGCGTCCGGTCGAATCGCCTCATTCATACTTAATCACCTAGACAATGAATGAAATATTTGATTTACATTGTTTAGAAAAGGGAAAAATAGAAATCAGGCGTTGCCTATTTTTGCAAATGTCGCATTTAAATAGAGTAGAAACAAAATAAAATAATCAGGCGTTTGGCACAAAGTTTGGCCAAGCGCCAGCGTCAAAAGCGCGCTTAACGAAGAGGGCGGCGGCGGTGGGGGCCACAACGTTATTGACCTTTCACAGCTGACAGATGTTCGGCGGGGGCGAGTGGGCGGCGGTAAACGTACAACAAGTGCAGCTGCGCCCAATTATGCCGGCAGCAAAAGCAAAAGCCGCAGCGACGGCGACGGCGGCAGCGGCAGCGTTCGATAAACACGCCATCCGAAACGACCAATTGCAGCGAAGCACGGCGAACCTTTTTATCTGAGCGAATATCTCTAGCTGTAGCTGTAGTTGTGTTGTAGTTGTAGTTGCCGTATTCTAGTAATTGTCTTCTGTTCTCTATATATTTTAATCGACTGGTCGTGTGACCCATTAAGGCGCCGAAAACAAAGCTTAGTGGCCATCCAGTGCACACCTGGCGGCAACACCTGCCTGTGAAGTGGGCCAAGCCAGGCTGGCAGGCAGGCACGCGACACGCGTCCAGTTTTTTCGCTGCGGAACATGCGCAGCAGCAGCGCGGCATACCACACAGAAATCAGCCGATTTTTAGCGCTGGGCGAGCGGGCGGGCGCGAGCGCCGACTGTGCGGCGAATGATTTGTGGCAAGAGAGTGCTTACGCTCTCTTTAGCTGTGCTCTGCGCTCTTATCTTGAGAGAGTGTGTGTGTGAGAGGGAGGCAGTGATGCGAGCTGTAACTGTACGATTGTTAGATAAAGAGACGCTACTCTTGCTGCTGTCCATCTGCTGATGTTGTTGCCATTGTTGTTGTTGCTTTGTCAGCAATATTTGCAAAGTTGAGCAACACTTTTTTGTTTTTGTTTTTGTTTTTAAAGCGAATTGACCAATATTTGTTTAATGTTGCTTTGCAGTGTGGTTGCCCCTGCTTGGCCTCGACTGACCTCCAACGATAATCGATAAATGAGCAAATCGATATTAATTATATTTCACTAGTTAACATGCGACAACGCAATCAAAAACAAATACAAATTCTAACAAAATTTGTGAGTTTGTCAAGGCAAAAGCAATTCGTACTACTTTGTACCATTATTCCGAGCAACGCACACAACTGGCAGCAGCAGCATATTAATAATGGCTTGCATTTACTTATGTGTATATATTTATATGCCTACGTCAATCAGTTAAGTTTAAGAGTGGCGACAGTGAATCATAGCATGGCTGATTGTTTTTATTTATATTATTATTGTTTTGTTCCCCTCTTGCTTTTAGTTGTATGCCCTGCGCCTTCGGCTGGCTCATAGTTGAAATTTTTTGCATAGCGATAATGGCAATGGAGATGAGTAATAGTGGGTATCGATAGGTGACATGCGAGCGCCAAAAGTGCTGATTAGAGCAAGGGCGATAAAAAAAAAAACAAAAAGCGCCTGAGCTGCGGCGGTGGAAAGTGGAATTATGGTCATAGGTATGTGATTTTATTAGTTTAAACAAACTCACAGTAGACACACACACATGTAACTACACACCAAATGAGCCCAGGTTGAAAACCCACACACACACGCAAACACACATGCATACGCATATACATATATATTATGTACAGCTATAGCACGATTGTGTCATATTAGGCAGCATTGCCTTTACTTTTTTTCTTTCGTGTTTGAATGGCTGTCCGCATCGTACGATAAAATTTTTGTATCTTGTCGAAACGAAAGAGAAAATGCTGTGTGGACAAGGGGTGCGGTGCCCGTTTGCTGTCGGAAAGAGAGGGCAAGAGAAAGAGCGTGCAAAATGATGTGAGCGAAATTGTATGAGCTGTTTCTCTCCTCCATTCCCTCACCCAACCTCATCCCATCCTTATGCTATTATTTAGCAACTGCTTTAAATTGAATTTAAACACATTTTAACTAGAAACTCGCGCTTGCCCAGCCCAAAACTGGACACACTCATACACAAACATATTCATATATAGAGAGACAGACGTCTGTCTATCTATGTATGTTTAGTTCCCCATCAGATTTTACTTACCGACTAGTCTCCAGCTTGGTGAGGTCTGTGTATCCGCTCATTGTGCTGTATTTGATTAATTCTTTGTCTTCTATTACCAAAATTGGTTAAGCAGACGGTTTTTGGGTTGCTTTACTTAAATGCTGATACCGCAAGTTAATAAAATTTTTTCTTTTGCTCTGTGTATCACACATACACGCGCACTTTCACTGTGTCTATCGCATTAGGTTTCTGTGCCTGTGTGTGCGTGCGGGCCTTCAGCTGATTTTTGTGTTTGTATTTGTATTTGAGAATTCTTTGCCTGGCTAGGCTAGGCAAGGCAAATGTTTTGTTGCTATTACGAAATCAGCAAACTTAGTTACAAGTAGTTATTAATTGATCGAGATCTGCCGACACGTTTGCTATTTATTGAACTCGAATGCGTTTTGGATACGTTTTGAGAAGTCGCTGCCGTTTTATGCCAACAAGAATGCTTTAAACATACACGGTGCTTCGATATGACTCTGCTAGATTGATGTTAGTTGCTGATCAATTCTTTATTTATATATCAAAATTCTAAGTATATTTTTGTGCTTGCTCGCGCACCGCTGCACCACGACCAACGACCGCTACGAACGAGTTTCGATTTCAAAATGATGTGAGCGGCGAACAGTGTGGCCTCAATCGGTTAGCGTTAAAAGACCCAAATGAAAACGATACAGTATCGAGTAGTTTATGCAAGCATGCAATCGATAGTCATATTAGACGTGTGTCCGATGTATTGTTCGTATCTGAATAAAAAGCGCATTAGTTCAAATTAAGTTTCTTATTGGTTTGTGTATTTGATACCAGGCGTTTATTTTGGCCAAGATCAAAACCGTTTTTGACTTACACAATGCAATGAAATTCTGCCACAGCTGTTACTTGCATTAATTCCTATTGGATTTCAGAAATTATAACAATGGGATTTCCACGTTTGTACAAAATCATTTCGGCCAAACTAAAATGACAATTTTTATTTCACTTGAAAAATCAATTACTAATCATGAATTGCCGTCGACTTAATGACCCGCAGTGGCCGCTTTCGCAGCGATCTCATCCTCCTTAGCGTGCAGGGCGATCAGCTCCTGTTTCTTTGTAGCAATACGCTCCTCACGTCGCTTACGTGCCTCACGCACCTTTTGACGACGGGCCTCGGCCTGGTCGGCAAGCATCTTGCTGCGCTGCTTCTCAGCCTTCTTCTTGTGAATGTATTCCATGAGGACGCGCTTGTTCTTGAACACATTACCCTTGCACTTCATGTACAGATCGTGGTACAGATGACGATCGATCTTCTTGCTGTCGCGATACTTCTTCAGCAAGCGACGCAGCACACGTTGCCGCTGCATCCACAGCAGCTTGGTGGGCATACGAGCATTTGCTGTACCCTTGCGCTTACCAAAGCCACAGTGACGGCCCTTACGGCGTGCTTCGGTGTTCTTGCGCACACGGTAGCGGGAATGCACCACGACGGGCTTCTTGATGATCAGACCATCCTTGATCAGTTTGCGTATGTTCTGACCTGCAAGGCAAAATATCCGTTTGGTATACTTGTTCACACACCCAGGCTTCATTTTCATTTTGTATACTTACGCGAGTTTGTGTTGGCGATTTCATTGATTTCATTAGGATCCAACCAAACCTTCTTCTTGCCGCAACGCAGCACTGAGGCTGCGAGCCTCTTCTGGAGCTTTAGAGAACTGCAAGTAGATTAGACACCAATAAAAATTAGATAAAACAGCATGCCATTATTGCGTATCTATATGTGTGCGTGTGTGTGCGTGCGTGAACGTGGTTTCGGTAGATTTTACACATTTCTTGAAACCTTATTCAACTGCACTTATAATTTGTTGCGTGATATATGTAATCCACAAGTTTTGCAACACTTTTCACACATTTCCGCACACAAAACATACAAATTGATGAAATTCAACAATACCTCATGTCGACCCTTGCTCGTCGTGGCTGGGAAAGAAAGAAAAATTTGACAGACGGAAGTGACTGCCATTTTTGAGTACGTACAACAACAAAATGCTGACTGCTATAACACAAACCAATCACAATAGGCACTTAACAGTGTACTGTTGCGTAACAGACGAATGTTATATTAAATATATGTTAACCATCCCTGGTCAAACAGCTGATCATACGGCAATAAAAATTCAATCACAATCACAATTAATAAATAATTGTTGTTTTAAAAAGTTGGTTAACTATGCAACACACTTTAAGGCGATGCCTAACCATGGCGAATACTGGTAGAGCGAGCATGCGGCACCTAGCAACGTTGCCGCATGCACCCGAACAGAACAAAAATCAAACAAGTCGCAATCAATTGCCCCGTTTGATGGACTTTCCGGAGATAATTTGGCCATCGGCTCTAAATACAATTAAAAATTGGATAACAGTACAGTTTATAATACGTCCATACTTCGACAGCGAATTTCAAATCAAGGACTTTGTATTCGGCGCAAAACAGGCGCTGCAGGTGAGTGCAAATTGATGCTTCAATTACGCAGTAAGCAAATTTCACTGTTGCCATTGTGAACTGTTTTCAGGTCGTGTCCAGCCGTCTGGTGGGTGGCGATCTGAACCAATTACAGGATCTAGTCACACCCGATGCTTTAGCAGAACTTAAGCCCGTCGTCCAGAAGCTGTCCATGACGCAGCGCAAACAGTTGGAGATTAATGAGAGCGACATCTATTTGTCATTTCCCTACCAAATAGGCATAATGTTCGACGATGCGAATGATAAGCTGCAAAAGCGTTGGGTCGAGATTACAATGGTGTTCCATGTGATGCGTGGATTGACTGAAATGCGTCAGCGCGGCGAGGAGATACCCTGGAATATGGGGTAAGCGATGGACTATCAACTAAAAATGTTTTTGACTAACATAAAATCGATTTTCTTTATCATTCTAGCACCATGCCGGAATATCAAGATCGCGTGTTCATTTGTAATTATCGCTTCAAGAAGGAGTTTACAGCTGGACAACAATCAGACTGGACGATCAATGTGGCCAACCACTTCAGGGCCATTGATCTTATAAATGAATCGAAATAGCAGTTGGTTTCCTAACTCTTAGAAATCGTAGATAAACCCATTGTATCCGATAGTTCCCTGATGTTTGCCTATTCATTTTGGATCAATCTTGTAATAAAATTTGCATTGCAAGTATTTAGGTATGAGCAAAATAGATAAAAGAAAACCCCGATCAGATAATTTAAAGTTTTATAATTTTTTTTATCTTAATTTTGTTTCTATTGTTATTATGTAGTTTAAATAACGAGTATGTTTTTAGCTGACAATACAATTTGATTTGATTTGATGTTCTTTTTTTTAATGCTTGGCGTTCTTCTCGTACTTGGACCTGTAGATGCCCTTTGAATCATACTTGTCCAGGAGCAGCTTCCAATCGCCGGGCCTTCTAGCACGCAGGTAATTGATCACCTTGTTGGAGTTGCGACGCTGTACCTCGGTGCATTTGGAGCACTCCGATTGGAGCGCATCGGGCAGCAGTTTCTTCAGCTCGCGTCCCTCGGGCGTGCAGGGTCCATTTTCCAGCAGGCACCTGATGTAGTTATCCAAGATGCGATTGTTGTTTAGCACTTCGTCCACGTTGACATTGTCGAACTTGTTCGTGTATTTCTGATCGGGCTTAGCCGAGGCGAGGGCGACGATCACGCCTATCAGTAGTATGACCAGCGATGCCTTCATCTTGTCTCAAGAGCTGTATACACAAATAGAACATAAAGAGTGAGAAAAAAGGCCCCGTTCAAACGTGAGTAATTGCAAAATAAATACAAAATCTCTTATTCGAATACGATTTATGGCAATATTATTTGGCTTAAATAAATAATCTGAGGCGTCGCCTGGTCTGCGATTGAGCTAGCAACGCGCCAGAGCTTTGAGAATGAATCGTTCGATTTATTTCTGGGCTAAGTTCGTTTCATGCATTATTAATGCCTCTTGGCATATATATGGCACATGCATACTAATTAATGATTTAGTTTTAATAACAAAAGATTTCACAATTTTCGGACCACGTCACTTTAAGCTCTTATTCAAAGTGGATTAAATTCGTGTTTCGCCTTCATTTTCTTTTTAACTAAACCACTTTTGTACCGTTGTTCGCAAGTGTTGCAAAACTGTTTACGCAATAGGCCAGGCATCGATAGCAAATGGACAGCTGCACTGCCTTCGTCGGTCTCCGCCATTTTAGTTGCCATTCAAAACGGATTAAATTCGCTTTTCGTCTTGTTTTTTCTTCTCTGTCTTTCTGCTACTTGTGTACCGTTGTACACCCAAGTGCTGCCAATCAATAGCAATTCACAGTTGCAAAGCACAAAGCAGAGCAGCCCAGCGCACGCGTAGCCTGCATCGCTCGTTCACTCTTTCAGTCACTCTCTCGTTCGCTCGCTCTCTTTCTCAACTAGTTTTTGCTTACCGCTTGTTGTTTTTGTTGCTGAACTGCGACTTGGTGATGGGGTTTCTCTTGTGTGTGTTGCGTACGACAGCACAGCTTTGATTGCCAAGCTGTTAGCCTGTTTAGCCGACTTTTATACTAAGGAGCTCGGTCGACGCGGCCAAAGCTTTCGCATTCGCTTGGCCACTCGATTTACGGTGGCGATGTCGTCGGCGTCGGCCTGGGCAGCTCCCCAGTCAAAGGTCTTTCGTGCAGTCAAAGCTGCCAAATTGAACCGGATTTTTAGTTTTCACCCGAATTTTAACTCAGCCAAGCAATTCGCCGCGTACCTGGGATGTACGCAAGCTTTACATTGTTTTTAGTTTTGTTTTCTGGAGTTGACTCTGACGTTTTAAATGTAAATGTGGCCTCGTCGCCTATCTTCGCCGTCTCTCTTCGCCACCTAGCCGCACTTTGCCGCTGTCACAGCTGTTTGTTTAGCTTGTTAGTGCTGTGCACGTTTCGCCCCGTGCGTTGAGACAAAATTCATAGGAAAAACATGCAAAGTACTTACGTGAAAAATTCGAAGGTGTTGTTGTTGTTGTCGTTGTCGCTCTTTACGATCATGTTTATTATGTTGTAATCAGTTTTATGCATTTTCCCCATTTTATTTACATTATCTGCAGCGTTTAATCGGTGTGTGTGTGTGCGCGTTTGGGTTTGTCTCTCTCTGGACCAAGCCAGATTTCGAAAGCTCAACTGGTCTCGATTTTGTATCTTTGTTTTTATTTTTGCGGCAATTCGAGCTGGGATTTACCCCCACGGAACCACTACGCGTCGTCTTGTGGTCAGTTTTATTCAATATGTTGCATAGTAGATTTTTCCATAGCCAAATCAGAGCTGATAATTGTTGTCGTTGCTCTTTTAATAATTTTATTTTTAATTTCTGTCAACTTGGGGTCCACAGTAATGAGCCATTAAACTCATCATGTATTTATTTTTTATAATTCTAGTGCTTTATTTTTTTTGTTTTTTTTTTTTTTTTTTTTTTTTTTGTCTTTAATGGGAATGACGCGAGCTACTGGCACGAGCATCGCAATTGTCTTGTCTACTTAACTGCAGTTCAATGGGTCAGTTCTACTTATCTACTTAAGGCTCGCGGCAACTTTTTAGCCCGCCGTCTCTAATGAAAGCTAATAAATCACTGTGATATAACTTTTATGTTAATTAGTGTGCAATTATGCAAAGTTCAGCTGATTTATCACATTATCATTATCATTAAATTTAACAATCTTTCATTTCATTTCATTTTGTGTGTCGTCTGTATGCGACGCGACTTACAAAACCATCTCTTGAGCGGGCCACAAAATTTGGGACACATTTGCTGTCAGCAGCTAAGTGCCCGCAGGTCTTGTTTTGGAATATCATATACATACATACATATATATTTATTTACGAAGATCACATATTTCTAGAAAAATATCGAACTATAAAAAAACTTGCACAATAAAATATTTTTCTATAAATGTTTATAGGCATGGATAAATATGCTTTCTAACTATATTTCTGAAATAAAATATACCGTTATTTTATTTCGATATTTAGATGACTGGTCAGAATGTTCGTCTTTAAATTAATTTCATAATTTAATTATTTAGAAATAGACCTTAATTAAAGTAGGCAAAATACAAAAAAGTGGTAACTGAAAAAGATATTGTCAAAATTATTTTGGGCTGACAAATTTTGTCAAAATTAACACGTGATCTTACCTGATCTTTTGAAATTTTCTTATAAAAATGTTGATCTATTTTTCTCAGTTATATTTAATATTTAAAATATATTTTTATAATTTCTAAGCTTTTCCAAATATATCCATAAATGATCTTTCCAGATCTTTAAGCTTCTATAATTTAAGGCAAATAATATTCATAAAAATGAAGGCAAAATAGTTGTCTCTCCAATGGGACGCAGTTTTCTAATCTGAAATCGCAGCGATCTCACGCCTTTCGCATGCTTTGGTAAGAAAACCTAATGCATATTAAGAAATATTGTTTTGCGAATATTCTGATCACGTTGCTCAACAGTTGCATTTCAAGTAAACGCACACATATATATATATAGATATATATGTATATATATATACGGCTGTATGTGTAAATCGTTGACCAATTGCCACCTGGGTGTTACAGCCGTCATGATCGGTTTTGGCTTATGCAAATGGAAAGTACCCAGGCCAGAGGAAAGGCAAACAGACGAGCTCATGGCAATGATGCCAACGTCCCAGCGGAAAAGGCGTGGCAGGGCAGGCAAGGGCTGCTTGCCTTGAAAGCCAGCCAGTGGCAGCATGTGCAAAAGTTCAGGTTCAGGAAGGTGAGCCGAAACAGATAAATAAACAAAAGCCAGAAAACAGAAAACAGAAAAGAGACACAAAACAGAGATAAACAAAAAACCTGACGCAGCAAAACAACAACAGCAACAGCTGCAAACAGAGCTTCAATAAAGGCAAATAAATCTGGGGACAGATCTTAAGTGTATACGTGCACAGGTTTTCATTGCCAAGCTTGGCCAGGTGTGTGCAGGTGTGTGTATGTGTCTATGACTTATCGGCAATTGTGGCTGAGCCTAGGAATCAAACGAAATGCCGCAACCTCAAGCCAAGTCAAGACAATCCCAAGGGCCTTGAGCTTGAGTGGGAGAACAGCTTCCCCCTGGCCATGTCAATCTGCCTCGATTTGACACAAAAGGTGAAATGAGAGGCAAATTCATAGTGTGCAATTACGTATATGAACATTATCATTATCATTATTATTGTTAATTGGCGCTGCTGATAAGCGCAGTCCGTGATGAGGTGATGCGCGTAACTTAAATCTAAATACAACTAAAGCTAAGGCAAGGAAACGTATCTATAAGATACAGATTGATGGAAATGCGTCTATTTGAGAGCCAGCTCAGTGTTTAGCTTGGGTTCATGCTGCGGCTTCGGATTCAATATCGTCTCCAGCTGCACGTCAGGTGCGCCGCACAGCTTGCGATAGAGCTGACCATAGCTGTGACTGCGGCTGCAGCGTCTGGCCAAGCTGAGCAGACACCACAGTGCGCAGAGCAGCTGCAAAGCCATCAGATACGGCTGCAAGCGTGGCAACCAGTTGACATTGAAGCGCATCATGTGGAGCACATATCCCGGCAAATGGTCCATGTCCTAGAGACGGGCACAAACGTTAGAGACCTGCCCAAGGCATACGCATGGCGAAATACTTACGAACTCATACCAAAAGATGGGCACAATCATGTTGCTCAGCTTGGCCAACTTGTTGCTGTAGTTGTTGAAGTCCGGCAGCGGCGTATTGGACTGAAAGCGATATTTCTCATTGATGGGTATGCCCATGGTGGGCTCCAGCAGCACAAAAGGCTCGTGCTGCTCGGCATTCGGATCGAGGCCCTCGAAGTGCTGGCGCCAATCGTAGCTGGAGCCATAGAAATGTGGCATGGAGAAAGCCGAAGGTGCATCATCTGTCAATGAGACAAAACAGCAATGAGTTAAGTGCCTCTTAGCTGGGCAGACAGCACTCACTTATCACACACTTGGAGACGTCGAACATGCCGCGTGGCAGCTTCACGCCGTAGGTGGTATCCATGCACGTGGGCGCCGTCTCGTTGGCCTGCAGCAGCGCAAAGCGATACGCATTCATGCCATCGTGCACCTGATCTCGCTGATAGCGCAAAGGTAGCACACGGCACGACTCAGTCGCCAAGATGTTCAGCGATGCATTCCGTGTCAGAAAGGGCGGATAGAGGGAGTTGTCCAGCGTGTTCGCCACGTAGATGGGGCAGCTCTCGTCGAGGTTTCTCGGATTGTCCTTCACGCGCTCCTCTATTTTCAGCTCGCCATTCAGATTCTGAATGCGAAAGAAGTTGTCCATGCCCGGCTCGTTGCCAATGTTGACCGTGTATACCTCCTTCTTTTCCTTGAGCGCCTGCAAGGGATAGTTGGGAATGCTGAACTCGTCATATAACGATTATGTCGCCTACTTACATTGTAGAGCGTGCCACAGTTGGTGGCCAGCGGCATCATTTTGCCGAAAAGCTCCAGCGCGGGCCGCGTGAACTCCCACAGGAAATAGTAAACGCTGCCGGGCATAAACACCTGCTCGCCCAGGGTCAATGCATTGAAGCCCATCGAGGTGAAGGGTATCTGACTGTACTTGGCGGCGGCGCCCATGAGGAAGCTGTTGAACTGCACAATCGTCTTGTTGAGTATGTCCGGGGAGACGCTCTCCTCGGGCACAAACTCGATGTGGCGATAGCGATGCTTGCGATAGGTAACGCTGCTCTCGGTGCGATTGAGGACGTTGTTGTAGCCGGTGATCTTATAGACAATCGGCCCGATCTGCTGCAGCTTGATCTTGGAATCGCGTCCACTCAAAAACTCCGCGCCATTGGTCACATTGAACAGGTAGCTCTTCAGCTTGCCAAAGGGCGAATTCACCCAGCTGTCCATGGTGGGCATTTGCTCGCGGAAGCGAATCTGCTCCTGGGCCATGGCATACTGATAGCTGATGCCGCACGAGATCACAAACAAGTAGATGTTCAGCAAGCAGAACACAGCAATTGCCCCAATTTTAAGCCAGAAGCAAGTGTGGCCCATGACGATGCTGCTGGATGCACTGCCGCCACAGAGATTGACTGGAGCAGGAGGATTATTGTGCGTCTGCGTTGTTCAAATCACGCGATCCGTTTGATTTCAATAACTAAACGCTATTTCGAATTGCCATGAATTTTAAATACAAATTTGTTTTCTTTTTTTTATTTTTGTTGCTTTACAGAATCGCGTCTTATCGCGAGGTCCCTTCCTCATCTTAGGCCTGTTAGAAAACGAAACGAAACGAAACTAAAAATATGATTACAAATAAAAGCTGGCAAGTAAAAGTGAATAAGTGAGCCATAAACTGGACGAGACAGATACCCTAACTTAGTTGCATGGGCTAAGGGAACGGGAAAGTTAGCTAAACTGGAGGAGCAATTAGTAGGGGAACCCAAGACAAAGGTTCTTAGGGAGCTAGCAACAGCTTAGGTACAACTAGTTACTTTAGGATACAGCCATCGAATTTTAGACAAATCTTAACGCTTTAAGCCTGGCTTAAATGGTAGTCAAGCGCTGAAGATGTGTAGAAATTGGGAGGATTGGAGATTGAGACTGAGAGTGAAGATGAGTGGCCTAAATGATCTAGTAATTAAAACAATTGAGCAAATAGAATACAAGTTGACTTGTCTCAGACTAGTTTAAGCCTGAAGTGCAGTCTTACCTGAAGGCCTTAAGTGCTGTGTTTACTACTGCATCCTAAATATGATCAAAAGAAATCAATCTTCTCTTGATATATCTAGCATTACTGAAGCTTTGCTTTAAGTATGAATTATATAAGAATTCATAGGGTATATAAGAGCTTGTATACCCAAGCCAAAGCTCTAATAAATACTGCAATAAACTTCCAATAGAACCACAAACAAATTTTATTTCACTTAGCCTGAGCTGCATCAGCTTCTAGTTGATGCCACTTTCGTCACTTTTACATTGAACTATTCTAATTTGGAGGCATTAAACCAGCCATTAGAGTCCAGCTTGCTACAGGGTATCATTATAGCAGAGAGGCTATCAGTTGGCAGAGGCCAAACACGATCTGCTGGCGGCTGCTGTCGCAATTGGATGAGATAAGGCCGTCAACTTGTGACCCGGGCAGCATAGAATTTACGCAAATCGTAATTTAAATTTATGTTCCTGAGATTAATGTTTTATGGATGTGCTCCCAATTGGCATCTGCAATCGGCCGGTCAGTCAGTCAGTCAGTGCACCTGGCCAGGGGTTCCAAAATGCATATTTTTAGCATTTGCTTGATTGGTTTCGGCAATTGTCAATTGCCAATTGCTGATAGGAGATCTGCTGATGTGATCAGCAGATGCTCACAGCCAGACTCATTCTGAGCACATGTGAATGAGCGAGTGGAGCTGGGATGCTGTGTTATCAGCGACAGACAGACGAGTGGCTTTTTATCAGCCCTCGCGACTAGTGGATTGCACTTGCCCTCAGGCATCATGTCTGGCCTATCGCAGTGAACTCTAATTGCGGTGACATTTCGCATTCGCATTCATTTTAGCTGTTTCGTCTGATTCTGATTTTGATTCTGATTCTGATTCGCAAATTGAGATCCGGTCTGCCGTGTGAAATACATTTCTATTAATGAGCGCACAGACACTTCAGCTAGAGCCTTGCACCTCAAAGTGACAAAAAATATTAACCTGGCATTAATCGGCAAATTTATAACTAATTAAATTGGGGCTATGGAAAATCAAGTGAAGCTAACAATTAGCATATACCCTGTAAATGGATGTTCAGTGAAGACGTTCGATATTTGAGCTGCATAAGTCTGGGATAAAAGTTTCACCTTCTTTTCAAATTCTCTTAAGCTAATACCTATCAAGAAATATATAAAGAAGCTATTCAAGTTTCTTCATATTTAAATCAAAATTGTGATACAAATTTGAATTTTTATTTAATAAGTTTTTAAATAAAGCAAGTCAAAAGAATATGTAATACAATTAAACAAAATTTCATTTGAGCTCAATTTAATTTTGGTTAAAAATCTTCTGCAACTTCAGTTTTTCAGCTCATTTAAAGACTTCAATTTTGACGTTGTTCCAAATTTGATTAAAGCTATATTTTGTAAATAGTTTGAATACAATTTTAAATATTTTCTAAATTTCCTATATATTTTTAAATCTTATTTCTTGAAGAGAAAAGTTCCTTAAGACATTTCTAGACTCAATTAACTAGTCTTTCGCATTTTTCTAGAGGCCAAAAGTTTTATATATAATTTGAGTGAAATCAAGCAAGCTTTTAAACAGCTAAGCTTTGTTTTAGTTTTAATTTACAACCTGTACACTTTATCTTTGTTTTTATATATTTACTTTCGATTTAATTCCACAAACAAGTTCAGTTTGCTTTGCTTTTAAGCGTTTGCTCAGCATGAGTTTCAAATTAATAGAATTTACTTGGTGCCTTGATAAGTAAGCGTGGGATTGGGTGCAGCTGAACCTAATCAAAATCTATTTTTTAGTCAAGCTACAAAAGCAGTAAATATGGAAATGTGGAATAATCTGTACTAAATTGCCAAATTAAATTGAATAATGAAATTTTCAAAATGGTCTTGAGGAAGGAACTGATTGCTTGACCCAAGACGGCATATATATATATATGTGTTATATATATGCTTATGATTTACATGTATGCCAGATATATGTGATTATATATACATAGCTGAAATCAATTCTAAAAGCAAGCTCAAATTGAGCTGAGCATGAGCTAGAAAACAGAATAGAAAATGGGCTCGAATGACTGCAAAAAGTCTACTTAAGTCTATTAGGCCAGTGCCACTTAACTACTTAACTACTGCCTATTGAGCCGCTGGCTGGCTTACTCAACTTTGTCTGAGGAAAAACCTCTTTATAGAAAAACTTCCCGAGGCTACTGATAGTCAACCTCCTATAAATTACTTTCAAGGCTCAATTCCTGTTAGTAAACATACTTGCCCTATCCATACAAGGACTTCTTAACTCAGCATACAGAAATCTAGTCGTATATGCTACACGTTAACTGATACTGCTACTACACCTTGACAAAGTTTCTTAACCCTAATAGCAACCATTATAAAACCTAATTGAAGAGACATTAATAAGCACTTGATGGCTGACTGAACATCAAAACAGAATAGCTATTATAAAGTAGCCATATATAATTTTCGGTCTGGAATTTGGGCAAAGCCTAAGCCAATTCAATCCCAGCCACAACATTTAGAAACGTCCCTTAAAAGGTAACGCCATAAGAAATATAAATTTTTGTTGAGTTTGGTTTTGTTTTTTTAAGTGCCTAATTAAAATAATAGCGTAATTTATTGTACACATTAAAGTCATATACATTATACAGATATAGATACGATACACACATATACATATACATATATATATTATATTATTTTTAGATATATTATATTATATTTTTGTTGTAGTTCGTTTGTAACGCATCGGAATTTTTGCCAGTCCATTCAATTTTTTGATCTAATCAAGCACATTTATATGAGAGACGAAACTCGAGAGAACATGTATAAATATATAAATATATATATATGTATATATGTATATATATATATATATATATATATATATTAACATAGATTTTGGGAATCTGGTTTCTTTGTGACTTTCATTTGGTCATGCACAATTTTGTTTTTTAGTGACATAGAATTCGGGTTTGTTTTTGAGACTTAAAACGATCACGACTGTTGCTTGACAGACTATATACATATATACACATGTATATGCACATATGTATATACGTATATAGCTAATACACTTGAAATTTTTTAATAACGATTACATAAGTACTTACAACGAGGACCTATCATACATACAATACACAGCATAAGTACATACACATAAGTCTTCCCAGCTCCATTTGTTCTAGACTAAACACACGCACACACAGAAATTGTCTGCTGGCGCAGCGAATTGGGCTGTGCGTGTTCCCTAGCTAAAGAAATTCCATTTAAAGACTAATGCGCCGACTAAGGCCCCTTAAAGAAAATATAGAAGTTATGCGCGCTCTTCAGTATCGTGTTGTGGGCGCATTGTCCTTGTTCTGCTTCTTGTTCATGTCCACTTGGGCGGTGGCCAGGTAGTTGGAACCCTCCAGGTGCAGCGTGCTCTGCCTGTGCGAGTTGCGTATCAAGCAGAAGGTGGCGAGCAGCAGCAGCACCAGGCCCAATGTGCACAGCGCCACAATGAGAACGATGCGAATCTTGGGCGGAATGTGCTCGGCGAAACGCATCATGTCCGTGACTTCGTTGGGCAGCGCGTCGATGCCCTCTTCAAACCACAAAATGGGGAAAATAATGTCCGGAAAATTGGCCACCTGCTTAATGTCGAACACCTGGCTGACGGCCAAGTTGATCTGGATGCGGGCGCTCACACGCAGAGTGGTGCCCGTTTTCTGCAGAAGAAAGATGGTTAGTTAGCTCAGCTGCTCGGATCGGATGCCGGATGAGGTAGATCAGATGCTTACGGGCTGCACATCGAAGTAGAACTGATGCTTCTCCTTCGTGGGCGGCGAAATGCCCTCGACCTGAGTGCGCAGACTGTCATCGGCCAAGTAGAAGTGCGGGAAGCTCAACATAATGGGCGAGTCTGCAAAAGAGAAGAGGAGCTGTAGAAGCGTTGATCTAGTGGAGCTCTTAGCTGGCTACCGACCGTATTGACAGAGCGACACATTGAAGAGACCATTGGGTGAGCAGGAGGGCTTGCCCGCTGGACAATAGCACATATTATCCGGATGGCTGTCCACATCAGCGAATACCCATTCGGGTGGTGTGAACCGATAGGCGGGTACATCGTTAGGTGTGTCCACCTCCCGCTCGTAGACCAATGGCAGCAGACGGCATAGATCCTTGTCGTATACCTCGAGCATGCGTTCCTTGGTAATATGTGGCGGAAAGATGGAGCCATCGGTGCCATCCAGACGATTGCAGTCATTCGTTGTCCAGTGCGGCAAGTGCGTACGTCCGTTGAACTTGTCGATGACGCCATAGTGCTTGATATCATCGGAGCCTGTGTACACAGTCACACGATCCGATGAGGTGCCGTTTTTGCCATAGAGCAAGCCGAACTCCTCGTATGGCAACTTTTGTTCCTTGGGCACGACATCCTTGGCCAGCTTGAGCAAGGGATCCTCGTAGCCCCAGAGCAGCTGACCCACAGAGACTTGCACAAATGGCTTGATCTTCAATATGTCCATAATGCTGGCCATGGCCAAGCGCAGAAATCTGAAAGCGTGCAATATTCCCTTTAGATACGACTCCCAATTATGTAACTCGAGTAATTCTCCCACCTGGCTGCATGTTTACTCTGTGAGGTGGCGCTCAACATGGGTATATTGGGCACAATGACCACATCGTCTTCTGGACCGGCAGACAGATCTTCGCGGAACTTGTAGATCTTGCGCAGATTATAGCTCAGCGTGCCATTGTCATTCTCTACAATGTTCACCTTTTCCCACGTCTCGCTGTAAAATTTCAAGTGAGTGAGTGGGGGAGGGAGAGAGGGAGGCGAGGGAGGGATCTTTCACTTACCTGTAAACATAGGGTCCCACCTCATCGACAATGGCCTTGGAGCCGTTGCTTAGGAAATCGTCTGCGTTTGTCACATTGTACACATACAAACTGATGCGCGGCTCAACGGGAGGCTTGGCCCACCAGCCAAAGGTCTTTGTGCCGGGTCGCAACACAATCATGCGATCAACGATCGCATTGATTAGCACCGAAAATTCGCAGGCAACCAAAACGCCAGCAATTAGTAAAATGACTGCAATTACAATTGTAATCCCTGCAAACCAAGGGAGATACAGATCGAGAGAGAAAGAAAACAAATTCAATTTAATAACGATTCGATCGAGTGGTCCTCTATGCCGTAGGCACTGAGCTGATTCATCTAGGGGAAATCTCAGCCCGCTTTATGCACTCAATGCACGTACTTAATTCTTCACCTTTCAGGCTGAACCCCCGAGCAAATAAAGGCGTCGCGACGTCGTCTGATTGGTGTTAAATGATGTGAGTTCAAATCTTACAGATGCGTTCTACACAAGATGAATCATCATAGTTATATATGTGCAACATATATAAATATTCTAGTCATAATGTAAATAGATCACAGATTATGAAGCTGACGTCTCATTTGCTAGTGCCAGTAATGTTTAGCTTGACGAGAGCCAAGGCATTTTTTTCTTAATTATCATAGTAACTTTCAACTAATATGACGCATTTTATAGTTCTAATTTAGCTGAAAGATCTGAGAATCTTCAACTTTTACTACTCTTAAAACATAATTTTTGCTTTTCAACATTTCTTTGTTAAACATTCTTTGGTAAAATTACAATTTTTAAATTCAGTAAAATACAATAATTTTTATTTCAAATATTTCGAAATAAATTTTAAATTAAAATGAATTTATTTCAGCCTCTAGCCACTTCTCCAACTGCCCTCGTACCTTTGCCTAGCTTACATATAAATCGCATTTAGTTTAAATCGGAGCTGAAATTATTAATATTTTGTTGCATTGCAGCCTTGGCTAACATTTCTAGTTGCTTATTCCATTCCGTTTTAAAGACAGTTTCATAATTGTTCAGCTGGGGAATGCTAAAACGTGGCTGAGGCATAGCCGCTGACCTTCCCTTTCGATTGAACTGAAATTATACATGCGCACGCAAAGCAGAGCTAGGATGACCAAGGTGACTCAGTGTTGAGCTGTTTTCCAGAAGGGCCCATAAGCTCTATGCCTAGCCCTTCTCAGAAAGGTCTCGATCTTTACCTGAGTTTCCATATTTTGTCGTCGCTCATCAATGGATTGCTCTAATAACTAATCAATTTCATTAGTCTGCAGCTGATAATCAATATCCGAGTCTAGTGCTAATTGATATTTATTAGCTAAATAGTTTACGCTATGCTGAGCCAATAATCGATGGATTTAAGTCTAGCCTAGGCTCATTTGGTTGACTTCAACTCATCTCCGATTCGAAGATTCACTAGTTCCGTGTTAGCTGGTTGATCTTGCGACCTTTTAGTGTTGTTCGTTGTTCAGTTAATTAATGCAAGTTATACAATCGAATCGAAGCTGCAATTAGCTATTAATCATTTGATTGAATAATTACATAAATTAGAGACTTCTATGAACGTTGGCTAGTTTTTCCAGAAAGTCGACTTATCAATGCATGTATTATAGTCCAACTAACTAACTAACTAAGCATTATACCAGTTATGATAGCCAGCTACTGAGGCGTAAGCCCCACTTGTTAGCCCTCACGTCAGCGCACTTGTTTATTATCCTCGCCATTGAAACTCTACTTGAGGCTTATTGTGTGTAAACAAATCGAATTATTTATGCATATATATATTTACAAAGCTTCAGAACGCAATAATCAATTTTTTGGCTGATTCATCAAGAATGTGTGAAATGTTGATGTCAGGTAAACATTGGCATACCTGACTGATTGTCTGACTGACTGACTGAATAACTGTGTAAAAGACCTTGACAATGTCAAAAAGCGCCGCATAACCATCTTTAAAGTATACCCAAATTTATATGCATATATACAGGTATATATATGTATATACTAGATAGAATCTGCCATCAATTAGAATTCAAAATTGAAATACCTGTATAACCAGTCATAGCAAAATAACAAAACATCGCAGCCAAGTGTCTGTCGCACAACAAGCTACTCAGTTGGCAATAATTGTGTTCGATTTCAATGCAATACGGAAATAATATACCTATTCAGCAATACAATACCGTCTTTTGCTGGAATGTAATTGAAGACCTCTATACACCAATGGGTTATACAATTTATTGAGGCTGGCGTGGCTTGAAAATATTCAAGCTATTCGGCAACTCTCTATAGGCTGTAACTATCTTTTGTAATTGCTAATGTACTGGAATCTTATCTATTCTTATTTGCATTTAAGCTAAAGCGCCTTTTCGTTCAATTTTATCTGGCAACTCTGTTAAGATTACATTAGGTTTAAGTTAATGCAATTTACTACATTTTTAGCAACTTTTAATTATCTGGCAACTCTTCTATTTCTTTCTTTCCTCGTACTTTATCTGCTTGGTTCCTAAGTTAGCTAACTTTCAGTTTCTGAGCAGCTTTAAAATATTTAAAACTCACTTTTCAACTATCTGGCAACTCTCTTAACATTTTAACTACTGCACTTTCTTTCCCAAGTTAACACAGCCTAATACATTGTTTTATACATGCATATAAGCTAAGGAGCTCTATCATTCTTAGTCTAAAGTGCAATTTTTAACTATCTGCCATTTTTAAACTATCTGGCAACTCTCTTAACATTTTAATTACTGTACTTTCTTTCCTAAGTTAACACAATCTAGTATATTTGTATATAAGCTAAGCAGCTCTATCAGTCCGACTCTAAAGTGCAATTTTCAACTATCTGGCAACTCCTTTATTAACTTATTTCCTGTACTTTCTTTCCGAATTTAATACAATCTAAGTTATTCTTATGTATCGCAAGGAGCTCTATCATTCAGACTATAAACTGCCTTTTCTGACTATCTGGCAACTCTCTTAACATTATAATTACTGTACTTTCTTTCCTAAGTTAACACAATCTAGTATATTTGTATATAAGCTAAGCAGCTTTATCAGTCCGACTCTAAAGTGCACTTTGCAACTATCTGGCAACCATTTTATATCTATAATTAGCTGCTTATTGGCTGCTTGACTGCTTACGAATCTAATTCGCAATTCAATTGACTTCAATCGAGAGATTATTCAACTGCTACAAATCTTTTAATCGTTTCTTTCTTAATTAGCTGCGTCTAATTCATTTGCCCTGCCAGATTTTTAGAAAACTGTGACGAGCTGCTCTGACTGCTTAATGAAATACGGAAATAGTCGAAGCTTTTATTTAAATTATAACTCGATTGAGCAATACGCGGTCATTCAGGTAAAACACCTAGACTTTGAGACTATTCAAAGGGGTTCTATAAACTGTTCTAAAGTTGGAAGCAATTAGCAATATTGGGTTAGCACTAATTAAGTTTAGAGAAAAAAAAAACATTTAGGTAGAAACTTTCTAATTCAATTTGAGGAAATTTGTTGGGCGAGAAATCTGACTGATTAGAGAACAGATTCAGCACATAAATAACTCCAACTCCTGCAGATTTGAGTAACCAAGAGTTCGTCTACACCTCAATTATCCTGAGCTTAACAAGTGAGCAACAGTCTGGCAACATTGGCCTTATTAAGTTAGCTGCGCTTCATTGATTTTCGTTTTCCATGCAACAAAACCTTGCAATTTGCATATAGAACGCTGTTCACTCTTATACTTATATGCATAGCCGACGTTTTAATGCTCTACTTACACCATTTGCGCAGATATGTGCTGGAGAGCTTGGTACAAAGTTTGTGTTTGGGTCCGTTCATGTTGTGATCGTAGTGCGGATGTCAAAGTGTGAAACGCCTTCTGGTGCAGAACTATAAATAGCGAAAAATAATAATAATAAACAAAGATAAAGATGAAAATCTTGTTTTAAATTAAAGCCGAGAATCGTTAACTTGGCTAGTTAATGAAAGTCAAGCTAGGAATGCATAAGTTGACTGCCGGGCAAAGTTTCAGAACGAGGCTGATAATAAAAAAATAACCTGATCATGATGACGCTGATGATAATTATTATTATTACTGTTTAGATGTCTTGGGTTCTCTATATACGATATGTGTATATGTAGCCACGCTCAAGTCTAAAGTGTAGCAGTCAAGTTTAACTTGTTCGGAGAGGGCCGCGCTCCGAACCTCAAACTCAGACACGTTTCAGGGCAAACTGGCCTTGTCCGCTGTGTTGTATTGTTTATGTTTTTTGGTTTTTTGTTTTTTGTATTTTGTTTTCTGTTTTAATTTATTTATTTTTTTCCATTGGCTAATTTATCAGACAACAGTTTTGAATACTCTCTTTAGCATTTTGTGTGTTATATAATCTTTTGTTATGCTGCTTCTTAGTTTTGGTTTTAAGAACCTTGCCAAGTCAGCAATTGTTTCCTAAGTCTTCTGAAACTATTTTAGCTATTTCGTAAATCTTTTTTAATGAGTTGTTCGACTTAAACGCTTTTGCGGTTGACAATAGGCATCGACATGATTGGGTACATGAATAGAGCCCCCAAGTAAACCCCAACTGAATCAGTCAGGCAATTAAACAGACAGAAAACGTCTTTGCCAAAACGCTGAACCTCTTAATAGCCATGCGTACAGACGCATGCTTACCAAAAGAAGCTATAGTCGAAAATGCTCGACTAGATAATACCTAGCCAAGTCTGGTATGCTTAGCTTTTCTTCAAGTTAAACAGACGTTTTAACATTTAGCAATATTAGGGAATTCATTTTAGTATGTCTATATTCTTTAGTTTTTATGGCAAATAATACTAGTTAAAGCATTTCAATTAAATGACTTGTCTTAAAGGCTTTTTGCTAGCTATAAAATATAATTAGATTCTACTATATAGAAATATTTGTGCAGCATAATTATGATCATTATTAAGTTAATACTCCATCATTATTAATGTAGTTATTCGCATTAGTATTTTAACATAATAATCATCATTATCAAAACGCATTCTCATGGTCATTATTATCTTCATTAGTACAATAACTATCACTATCGTTGACATTATTATCATCATGATCAATATAACCATTACTAAGTAATAAAATAAAATTATAAACATTATAAATATTATACAATTTTTTTTAAATTTAAAAAAATATTTTCTTAAAATGTTTAAATAAATAAACATTTTTTTTAACATTTAAACAAATAAAAAATATATATTTTTATATGTAATATATATTTAAATAAGTAAATAAATATTTAAAAAAATACTAAACTGTATTTAGTTTAAAATTAAATATGCAAAATTTGATTATTTGTATATTGCAAAAATAAACCAAAAATACATTTCATTTAAATATTAAAAGAAAACACAGCTAAGCGCTACATTACACTGCGTCCGACTTGCACCAGGTCAGGGATGAGACTGAGCAGGCGCTCGCTCAGACGCGCCTTTTATAGCTCAGAACAAGTGAAGCTTTTGAGCTCACTTAAGAAGTGATTGAGTGGGAAGAAGATTCAGCAGGTCAAAGAGTAGAGCAAGGCTCATTAGAGTCTTACGCTTGCCTTCTGCTAGCTGCTGTCTGCTGTTGTAAACAGAAAGAATATACCCTCTTTATGCATGTCGAGTGCAGGGTATTAAAATGCTGTTGCCAATACGTTGAGCATCTTAATAGCCAGGTTCGGCTTGGCATACACGCATGTATTAAAAGAGTGTGCATATAAAAGTTTTAATTTTAATTTTGGCAAACACCTTGACCGAGGCCAGGGCCTCATTATTATTATTGCTGCTGCTGCTGCTGCTGTTGTTGTTGCTGCTGCTGCTGCTGTTGGGCCATAATTTCTATAAAGCATTGCCTGTTGGCTTTCAAAATGCTTGATTATTGACAATTGCAGGCACAGGCCTGAGGCAGGCATCATAAAATATTAAAAACAAATCTGACTTTGATGAATATATTTGTTAACCAAGCCATTTGCAAGCGCCGCACGAAACAATAGAAAATCCAAGCAGCGACGAAAACTTTTTTAATTGCCAGTGCGTCAATTTGTCAGCTTATCTAGCTGCTAACAATACAGATCTTTTCACTGAGCGGAATGCAGTAGACGCTCTTATAAGCCAGCGTCAAGGTGGCGTCTATATAGGCCTGGCTGGCAACGCATCTCAGATACCTGACTATATCTGTATTTTTTTGCTTCTGTATCTGTTTCTGTATCTGCATCTATGGCCAATTGGCATTTGGCTTATGGGCACGTTTCAGTGACGCTTTGAAGCAAGAAGAAGAAGCTGAGAAAAAACGCATATCTGCGTTACGGCCAAATTGTGTTTGTGTTTATTTGCAGTTAAACAGCGCTTGGCCATGTCACGGAAATGCTCGACCAACTAAGCCACAACTAAATACTGTTTTTGCTTTATCTTTGCTCTTTTTATTTTGGCTTAGTATACCCTCTACTCGAGAGCTGCTTGGCTAAGGCATCTTAACTTTGTGTATTACTTAGTACTGACCATCTTAAAGTCTTGCAGATTACAATATTTGCAACTGTCTTTTGATTACTAGCTGCCACAGACATCTCTTAGCTACAGCCAATCGGCCAGAGCTATGGTTACAGGGCCTAGTTTATAATGGCTGGGAAAACTCTGATCAAGTATTTAGCAAGAATTTATCATCGAAAGCTGCTTTAGAATTCTATGGAAATGTGGAGTAATTGCTTCAAGAGTTTACTGGGTCTGTTATGCAGTAGATAAGTTAGATTTCTTATAGAACTGTGATTAGTCAGTTTAATTTTAAATTTAAAACGTTTATACGTTATATTTATTATAACAGCTGACAGTGGGAATACTCAGAAATGTAAAAAGTTGTAATCAAGACACTTTGTTACAGGGTATATCTCAAGTCAAAAACAGGCAAACTAATAATGAATCATGCAGCAGGTATACTAGCAAATGGCTAACTTTAGATATTTATATATAAATTAGAGCTAAGATTAGACTAAAGTTTTTTATAGATTGCCTTACTATTGAGTATGCAAAGATGAATGCGTAATGCTGCTTGGGATAGATTAGTTCTTGAATAGTTCTTAACGGTTAAATCTAAGGAAAAACCAAAAACTGTGCAAATTAGTGTAATATAGAGTATTTTTAGAGACTTGTAATACAGGGTATATTTTAGGGTAAGTATGAGAACTGAGTTCTTTAATACTCCTTAGCGAGCTTCAACAAAGTGAAACTAGAAGCTATGAACTTAAGTTTAGTACAGGGTATTCTAACGGTCTATTACAGAGTATGTCCTAGACTCAAATTTAGTCAATTTATGAGCAAAAGTCACAATATTTGCAGCAATTAAGAACTATATTTACTACAGGGTATCTGTCCAATCTCTGAGCCTGCTTGCAAAGAGAGTCCACAGCTTGTACTTTGCCCCGAAGCACACACACATACACACGCGTACACATACTTAGATGATTTTGGCTTGTCTATTTCACAGCGTTTGGTGTGCTCTGAAGGTCGTCCCGTTGTTAGACACAACAACAAGAACAACAACCTTAACAACAACAACAACGGCAACAATCGAAATTGATCGACTCGCGCCAAACAGTTATTGACGCCAGAAAGCCAAATACTTGGACCACGTTCAGATGTGCTTTGCCATGCATGCGTATTGAATAGTAATTAACTAATATAATTATTATTATTTTGTGCGCTTTTCGGGCGACATTCAGCCGATGAACAATTGACCATTGAGCCATAAATCAGGTAACAAATTGTTTTGGCCACTGAATGCCAAAATGGCTCTACCCACAATTTGCTTTTTTTTCGTTGATTTGTTTTTTTTTACTCTGACGAGTTCATTGAATGCCAATTACAGTGAGAGAAACGATCGTATATCAATATGATTTGTGTTGTTTTAGCTGTTTTGATTAGAAATTGCAAGCGAAATAATGATGTTTAAACAGCCATAAACAGCTGACAGTTTAGAGCTCAGCTTGATATTACTGAATATTAGTAAATGAATATTTAGAAATACCTTTCAGTTGAAAGTGACGTGTGCTGACGCGCGGCTATAACAGCTGTTACATTATCACAAATGAGAAATGGAGTAAATAACAAATCAGTGCAACGGAATATTAGTTTTTATCTGTCTAACTAGTAATATTTCATATTGTTATATGAATATATGAGAAATAGGTGAATGAGTGAAGGGCTGCTAGCAGTGAGCTTTTGTCCGGCTATCAAACTTGCCTTTACACATTCAATGAACAGAATTTAGTTAGAGAAAGCTATTATTAATAAGAAATAAGTAATAAAGAATTGAGTGTAGCTAACTTACAACTGCCTAGTCAATAAACACACATTCTTAACTCTTTTAATTAATAAAAGAAAGTGACATGCTGAATTAAATGAAGTGGAAATCAAGCAAATTGAGACAGCATATATATAGCAGTCAACTTTTGTCTGCCTACGCAATGAACAGGCTTCACTCCTTTAACAAAGAGAAGAAAGCTTTGCATTAACTGCAATTATCAAAGCAAAATAAATGAGAAACTTTCGTCACTGTTAATTAGAATATTTATTTAATGCGATTATCCGTTTTATGTTTGCTTTTAGCGCTGCGCCCTAAGCTAGGCAATGTTAAATGAAGCAACATATTTGTGCTCAGATCGGACTTTCTTTAATCGGCTATAGCTATAGCTGAATTATCGGTAACAGATGGAATAAGGCTTAGCAGTAAAGCATATTTATTGCTGGTTTTTTTTTGGTTTCAGGTGTAATTGTTAGTGTTTTGCTTGTTGCTTTTTTATAATTAACAACTGTTGGGCGTTTAACGTGAAATCGTTTTTTTTTTTGCTGTTTAGCAGAACTCCACTCCACTTCAATAGAAACTTACTTTCTAAACTAAATGCTGAGTGGGCAACTGAGAGTGCTGTGTGCTGGGAGCTGAGAATCGCGGAGAGCGCTTTCAATGCCAACAGCAAGTTGCAGGCCAAAGCCGCTGCGAGATGCCGCATTTCACTGCGTTTAAAATGTTGCACAAACACAGAAACAGCAACAGCAACAGCAACTGTGGCAGTAGCCGTAGCAGTAGCTACTTAGTGTAAACAATTACCCTGACCCAATTTTAAGTAGTTGCTTTTGCTGTTGATGATGTTGTTGTCGGTGACTTTGGCCGGGCCAAAAAGTAAGCGACGTAGCTGTTGACAATTTTTGTTATATTTAAAGTTTATTTTTGGCTCTCGACTATTGTTTTTGTTGCATTTGATAATATGTGTACAATAAAGTGATTTAAAATTGTTACTTTTGCTGTTGTTGCTTAGCTAGACAATGGCGTGTCTCAGTGACAACTCCAGTTCCATCTTGGCAGTAGGTCAGTTTTCTGTTATTGCCGCAACATGTTATTCAAGAAAGAGCGAGCGAGATAGCTGTTTGTTACAGACAAAGCGCGACAATTGTCGCAGAGCACGCAATTTTTATAAAATGAATCATTTTAACGGTGTCCGCAAATTAAGGCAAAGGGCGTTTACTTAGCCGTAGCCGGATAAGCTGAAGTAGTACACACTCCCTATCTCCCATTCGCTCTCTGTCGGATACAACGGATATACATACATATGTATAAATAGCTTAGTGGCACTTGTCGCTTGCCGCTGCGCACGCAATATTTATAAAATGAATCATTTTAGCGAAGATATAAAGCTGCGTATGCCAAAGGGCTTTTACTTAGCCGGATAAAAACGCAAGAAGCACACACTCTCCACTCTGTCCCCTTTTTCTCTCGCGCTCTCTTTTTGATAAAACGGATATTTGGATAAATGGTGGTGGGCTATGTGGTCAGCGTCTTGCATTTATTTATTTATTTATTTGTGCGCGCTTCACTTTGATTTTGATGTTTAGCTTTTATTTCGTTTTGAGTGGCTGCTTCTTCGTGGCGTCAACAGCGAAATTTCACTTTTTCCACATAAGTAATCATAAAAACTATGCACGTACACACACACACTCAAACACACACAAAGTGCAAGAGTGTATTTGCCTCTGTGTGTGTGTGTGTGTTACATAGCTACACATGTATCTTAATGATTTTCCGCTTTGCCTGCGCCGCTCTTAAAGCCAATAAGCATGTTCATTTGGTTTCATTTGACTGGGCCTACTGGCAAGGTCTTGCGCCATGATAACTCAAGCTTTATAAATATATGAATATATATTTATATTTATTTATATACACTTATGTATTCGTATTTGTATTAAATATGTATCGATGTGGCATATTATCTTGGCCTGGGTGCAACTTTTACTGCGGCAGCTCTTTGGAATGCGTCTACTGTGCACAGTGGGCAAGTGTAAGTACACTTGTTGCCTGTTTCGATTTTGTGAAAGACACACGGGCAAAACAACAGCAACAACTGCCACAACCACAGCTATAACAACAAAAATAAAGGCAACAGCAGCAATATTGGCTTGCCAGGCAACCGCAGGCATTTCAAAATAGTAAAATTAACACAAAGACAAACACACGTACGCACACACATACACACACACTAATGCACACAATCAAAAAGCGTGCACGAGTCGGCTTTAACAGTGTATTTTATATGCAGTCAAGATTCTTGGCTTTAAAAAGTATTTTTTGTTTAACGCACCCGGCAACGTCGAAAGGCAAACGACTTGAACGCTAGCAAAGCCGCTGAATAACTGAAGGCTTGAAATGCGCGCACAACGAAAGATGTTTAGACAGCGGCCGTAAAGTCGCAAAAGCTCAAGCTTAGCTTGAATTGCGACAAAAAACCAGATAAACAGGTAACAAACGGTCAGCGACGTCGCAACGCCGCTAAGTCGTCGGCGTCAAAAGCGAGAGTAAGCTTCAGTACTCACTGCTCACTGCTCACTCAGCTCAGTCGCTGCTGCGCTGCTCACTCAGCTTTGCGCTCAGTACTGAGTGCTCAGAGCGTGGAGTGCAGCGTGAAAGCTTTTAGCGCCAGCACCGCATTGCAAATGCAATTGATAAAAAGCTCTATTGAATGACGTTGTCATGCATGATTGTTGCCGCTGCGTCGCGGCTGCTGCGCAGCTGGCGCGCTGCTTTTGCTATTTGTGTTATGTGTGCGCTGATAAAAACAAGTTTGTTGCTTGCATTGAAGTCTTTCGTTTCGTATCGTTTCATTTTATGCTGTCGCTGCCAAAACGTGCAACGACAACAAACATATCTTTGATTTCCACATACACGCAAATCATTATATGCCCAAAAAACGAGTAAATGACTAACAATTTATCGTTTCGCTTTGCGAAACATAACAACAATTTTAAGAATGTATAACAACAAAAATGTTGTTGCTGTTGGCGTTGACGTTGTGTTGTCTAGTGTCCAACTTGACACAACCCTCGCCATTGCGCAAGGTTGTTGCCGCAATTCTTGTTACTCTTGCAACACGTATATTGACGCTAGAATTGTTTATCTTCGCATTTACTTAACATAGAAAAATATGAGAAAAAATCCAAATGCAAATTTGCTGTGGGCATAACACACGCCGCGTCAGCTGGAAAAGCAACAGAAAGAAGCGAAAACTCGTCGCATTTGCATTGCAGTTGGACTGGAAATGTATATTGAATAGGAAATAGTTAACTTTTAGACTGCACTTATGACTGAAGTGTTTGCCCAACCGGCCGAAGTGGGAAATATTCGGCCTAACTCATGTGCTTAGCCAGAATCAGCGCTGAAAGTGTTTTTCCAATACAACAATTGTTTACCCAGAAACTTCGTTGAAAACTTAGGAGAAAACGTCAGCTAAAGTTTGCTACAGTTCCGACAAGGTTAATTTGGCTGACCTTGAACTACATCGATGACACCCCGCACACACACACGCACACACACATGAGCAGTTGCAGTTAATAGGCCTATTCAAGCCACAGCTCTAGCCGTATTACAACTTCGTATGCCAATAAGGCTAACCGGGTTGCATGCGACCTTTCTGTTTATGTAAAATGACACACAAAATGGCGCATTTATAGTTTGTTTTTTTTTTAACGATCTCATAAATATTAAAGCCACAAAAAGAAGCATTAGGCATGAATAGACAAACGTTAAATACCCTGAAATAACGAGGCTGTCAGAAACTCAAGCAAGAATTCATATGTTATACATTTCATAACATGAACTGAACGTTAAACTTAAGCTGTTGGCTAAGAGAGTCACCAAACCTTGGCAAAATTGCTGGGGTTATAATGGAACATGAAATAGAGACTGAGATAGGCAGTGAGAATTGAGAGTGAGGGAGGGAGAAAGGATAAAAGTGAGGGAGAGAAACATTGCTCCCTCAGGAAGAGAGATAGATAGAGAGGAGAGATAGAGGGAGACAGATAGAGAGAGAGACAGATAGAAAGAGGAGAGATAGAGAGAGCGATAGATAGAGATAGATAAAGAGATTTATATAATATAGACAAATATAGGGGAACACAGAAAGGAAGAAAGGAAAGAGATAGAAATTGAGATAGATAAAGTCAGGTAGAGACACCCTATCTTATCTTATGAGCTATTCAATAAGTGAATATAATGAACTTAAGCTAATACGATAAATGGCTCAATATACTAACAGCTAGAGGAAATATATAATACTGAATAAATAGAGATAAATAGATATAGGCATTACGATAAATTTCGACTAGATCGCAGTCAGGTTCACATTTGCTGAGAACAGTTTGTATGCCTGATTAGCAATTGTAGATGTAATTAGATGGACTTGCGTGCTATCAATTGGGCCTACGTAAGGCCCCGCACGTGCTCACCCTCTGGAATATAATTAGCGTCACATTTGTCAACTTACGGAGCAAAACGTTGCAATATCGCATTATGAATCATACCAATGTCTGTAACCAGAATTTTGAATTTCAATTTCAATTTGATTGAATGGGAAAACGAAATACAAACAAAACACAACCACAAATCTTCGGAATTTTTTGATATAAAGTTTGGAAACTATTTTTGGCACTTGAACCCTGGCTATCTGTTAAAAAGAATATATTTAGCTTATAGCAGAGACTATATACTATGTATATATATACTATATTCTCTGGCATTAGCAGTTGGAAATAAATTAAAGTGCCTTCGACTTGGGGCTGATAAGGGTGAGACTGAGACATATAGGAAATGAATGCATTGGCCAGCGATAAAGCCAAATGTTCGCAATGTGTCTGCTTATTGACGTAGGACCCCATAGCTCTGATAACAGTGTCGAAAAGCCCCAACGCTACTCAGCCAGCATTAGCTGACTCTAAACGCCACTTAAGCTGTCTGAGTTAAGGCTTCATAATTGCATTTTATTTGCCAACTCACAATCGTCAGTTCAACTCACTTCCTTCCCCAAGCTATGCACATATATATAATCCATACATATATATATCAACAAGTGATGTTCGCAGCGAGAGATCTCTGAAGGCTGCTTATTGAAAAGCTATTAAGCGCACGAAAACATTGCTATATTGAAATATATATTCATCTGCGCTCGGTCGTCAGCTTAATCGTCTCAGTGCTGCGAACAAAGTTCAAAGAGGCTATCATTTGTTTGGATGATTTTGCTATACGATGTGTGGCAAATAAGTAAAAAGGCCGAACAGCTATTGCTGGCACTCGAATACCCTGTAAGACTTAGGTTTAATTACTCTATATTTACTTTTCCAAATTCAAGCAGAGAAACTCAATAAGTTAAACGCTAAAGAATGATATAGGAAAAGAAGCCACTGCGAGAGAGAAAGAGATAAAGAGAGAGAGAGAGAAAAAGAGAGAGAAAAGGGAAGAGAGAAAGAAAGGGAGAAGACAGAGAAAGAAGGATAGGGAGAAGCCTGAGTGAGAGAGAGAAGAGAGTGAGAGAGAAAACAGAAAGGGAAGAGAGAACGTGTTATAAGGAGAAAGAGGTTGTAATATAAAGTGAGTGAGGAAATGGCAAGCTCGTTTATACCGCGCTAACGCGCTGTATAGGCTATGCTGATTGGCAAAGTAAATAGCACGCTTAGCAAGCTTTGCTGACTACGCAGGAGGTAAAAGTCGAGTTGGCGGGGTGAAATAAATACATGTATGTAAACACGAGTATTAAAAGCGCGAGACTATTATAAAATAAACTCTTGACAAAACTGATAAATGCAGAATACACTTGAATGGAGTTCAATAACTCGACTCGTACGCTTATCAGCTATTTACAGCTCTATAATATGTACATGCGAATTAATCTATATATATGTGTGAATATACATATGCCGTGGGTAAAGTAAGAAACGGATAGTATATGCATCTAAATATATACCTCTCATTATATTTTTATCTGTGAATATAAGTATGTATCTATCTTATCTCAAGGCAGCTGGATGACAAAGAGTGCGTGAACAAGAGCTTCAGTATTTTTGTGCAGTGTACAGCACCTTATATGCACAAAGAGAAATTCTGCCATATCTTAACAATGAGAAACTGTTAATTGATAGAGAAAACTACGAGACTTTTGTTGTTACAAAGCATTTATCTAGCTGGTGGGTGGCGGGGGTGGTATTGAAGCAGCAACTGAGACGCAATTTCACTTTTAATAAGACTTATCTGTTTTTATTTTATAGCGCTAATTAAATTAGGTGAATGTCAATGCTATAAATAAGTCTGAGTTCAATTATAAGAGTGAACTCGTTGTTAAACCTTAAAACACAATTGCTGAACTCCTAATATGAGCATATACGTTGAAATTTAAGAGTGAAACGAGTTAAATAATGTGTAGACGCCTCCTACACAGTGTATAAGACGAAATATAAGAGTGAGCTAACATAAAAATAGATAACAGACATACCAACGCCACACTGCTGCTCGAACAAAGATCAACTCCGTTCCATCTGTTCATCAGCTGATTGCGAGAGAGCATAGAAGAGAGGGGAAGAGAGCGAATGACACTTTCCAGCTGCAGCAATAACAAGCCTTGAGGCATTCCAAAGCTCCAAGCACAACGCAGTTTGTTTCAGTGCACATCTTCGACTTCGACCGACTCTATGGAAATGGAGCACACGCTAAAAGATAATAACGAAGCAATCACTGAACAACAAGCCGAGCGACGACTACCGAACGCCCAGCGACGAGTGCCGAATGGCGAAGTGTATCATGTCTAAGCAGCAATGCTGGGGATGCTATGCGCATACCTATATACATACGTACATACAGACGTACATATGTACATAGATACTGGCTCGATTGTCGATTCTTTGTCTTGCGGTGATTAAATTTGCACTTTGTGTCCGTCGCTCATATACATACATACGTATGCAGTCATACATGTATGCATGTTTATGTTAATGTGTGGTTGCTACGTCAAAAAGAAGTGATCCCGATACGTAAACAAGAACATCGACTGCAGAGACAGAGGACAGACAGTCAACAATCCGTAATCATAGCTGTCAGCTGCGAGCTGCGAGCTGCGCACTGCTCTTCCCGCTGTAAATGTCTTCGCTCGCTTATCAACACTCGCAGTCGAATGCAGCGACGCAACGAAGGCGGCAGCAGCGCAAGCAGCGAATAGAGGACAGCAACAAGCCCGACCAGGCCAGTGAATGCGTTGCGCGCGTCGTAGTAATAACTTGTTTCGTGGGCAGGGCGTAACTCGCTGCGTCCCCAGTGTGTAACGGTACACCCCGAATTCAAAATAACAATCATAGCAACAGCAGCCGAAGCAGCAACGCAATTAAGAATAACAATAGCCAAACGAAATCTAATCTTGCGACGCAATTTTCATTTCGATAGTGCGTGAAGCAAGCTGGCTAATCCGTCAAACGCGAAACGGAAAGGGTCCCTCACTATTGTATTTTCTCAATATTTTGTTTTGCCAAGTTGGCCAACGAGTAGCCAATTAATTGCTGCTCACCTGTGGCTAATGGAAATATGAGTGCAATGAGAAATCAGAAAACAAAGGCAACAATAACAACAATAGCAGCAACAAAAGCAACTGCAGCGAATTTGTAACAAGTCATACGGAAAACCAGCTTGCCATATGAAATAAAGAAACAATAATAATAATATAAACACGAGCAGCAACAACAGCAGCGATCAGCAGTAAGAACGGAATAGCGACAAAACAAAGAAGCAAGTGGGTAACAAAGAACGCAAACACAGCCAGTAAAGACTGGAACATAAGAAACAAGAACAACAACAACAACGAACGAAATCAGTAAGAAAATCAGATTTCGACTACAACAGAGCTGTCTTTGGCCTGGGCTTAGGCATAGTGTGTCGGCGCGGCGAATTGGAATGCACAACAATCAGCACAATAGCAAGAACACTAATAATAACAAGCTTTTAATATTTTTGACTACGTATTTTGTGCGCATTCAGCGTAAATAGCGACAAATTATTAATAAAGACGCCAAATGTTTGGCAGGCGCTTTGAGAAGTGCATGTCCCAGCAAGAGCGCATACACACAGAGCACCATCAGCAGCGAGTGCAAGCGAAAAATAACAAACGCGAGAGTAACGTTGAGTGAGAACGGCCGCGAGTGCAATCAGTGTGAGTGCGAGTGCGAGTGAGAGTGCGCGTGTTTCGTTTCCGAATTGTTGCGATCAGCTGTGCTGCTTACGCGTTGCTCGGTGCGCTTCGCATTACATCTCAACATTTTTCAAGTGCACACCAACAACAGTAGCCGCGTATTAGAGCTCTTACGCGCTCTTCTTAACGCCGGCATATGCTCACCGCACAGGTGGACGCAACTTCCGTGGCCGTGTCATTGTGTTATCAGTCAATGGCACTGAGAGAACGACGTTGCAGTTGATCAACACAAACAATAACAATAACAACAGCGCAACTTTCAAAGCTTTCAACGCCCGCACAGTGAAGCCTGCACATGTACGTATATATATGTTATGTCTGTTTGTGTATGTGTGTGTGTGTATACTTATCAGCTACTGAGTGAGCCAAAATGGAATTTTAAAAAAAGAACGTTTCGAGCTACTTCCAAATGCTTGCCACATGCAGTTATTTTTATAAATACACTTGCGAGCGTACGTGTGTGTGTGTGTGTGAACTTGACTGCAAGCATGTAATAGATTTGAGAGTCAATCTACTTTTGATCCAGCTCAGTTCATTTGTACTGATAAGAGCTGCCGTTCATAGTTTTTATTATTGGAAATTTTTCAATTCAAATTGGCAATGATGACAAGCAGCAGCACCAGCACAAATCTTATCAGATGTTGTTGACCCCTTTTTCAGTTGACACCAAAGCAAAGCCAGCAAAAATATTAAAATACATAAGCATTAAATATAATTAATCAGCAGAGTGTTCTATCACAAATTAGAAATTGCTGTCATATATATGTATATTTCAATACTCTGGTACTTCCAAACAGTGTAAACAGTTACAACAATTTTCGACCACAAAACTACTTAAAAATAACTTTCCTATTCGTACTAACAAATTGACGAATGTCTCGGCCATTAGCTTATCAGTCACTTAAGCACTCTTAATTGCCTTCATTTATGTTTGAGAACTAGAAAAACTTGGTTTTTGTTGTTTTTAAGATAAGAACTACAAGAAATCCTTTGCTTTTTGCTTTTGATAATTGGGATTATCATTGTGGTTATTATAAATATATAATTATTATTTATATTGTCTTTATCAGTGTTTTCATTATTATTATTATTATTGTCATTATTAGTATCATTATTATTATTAGCAATAATGTAACTAGTCCCATTAGACCGATTGGAAAATTCCTAATTGGAATATACCTACTGGAAACGCAGCATGCTTACAAACGTGCTCCATTGACAAAGGTATTTAGACATGTATACAAGCATATACATACACCAATACACACCTATACATGTATACATATATATATATATATATATATATATATATATGTGTGTATTCGTATAAAGCTACTATGTTTGGGCGCCTAATATAAGACATGTCCCAACTATGCCCAGTTCGCAATTTGGAGCATAATAAGTTACCCATACATATGCATGCTGATTACACTCACATATATATATATATATATATATATATTTATTTGTCTATGTACTCGATGTACTCGTTCAAAATTCCCTGTGTGAATTGTGTTTGTAGCCTTCTCGCCTATACTAAGTAACGGTGATAAGCGCTGTGCCATTTTATATAGACCGATTATATGTGTGTGTTTATATATATGTATAGAGGCATATGGATTTGTTTTTGTACTTTGATTTGAGAGTAGCACGCGTAGCTTGTGAAAATACCAAACCCGAGATTAGTCGGTGCACACGTTGTTGAACGATCGGCTGGTTAAGAGCTGTGGCTTAAGCGCTGGATCGCATCGGAATCAAATTATACACACCTATATACACTGACTATATACTGTATAGAACGTAGGTATCGCACTCAGCTTGAGTTATGAATGGCCAGACACCTTCAGTTGCAAGCTTGTCAGTTGGTTCAATGACCAGAGCGAAGCACTAAAGTCCTAATGCCTATGCCAGTGATAAGGCAATGTGGCATATAACACGTGTCGCCGTAGCTCAGCAAGGGCGACGGACGTGGCTTTATAGCAAAGGAAGCCTCTGAAATACTAATGAGCAATGATAATAGCAATGCATAATGAACATCGAATGCTACGTTCACTTTCAGCAAATATTCAAGCACACACCATGTCGCAAGCCACGCTGCAGCACGATGTGGCGCTGCCAACGCTGCCTGCCTCAGAAGATCTCACAGTACAAACGACAAACAAATCAAAGTCCAATACCTTAAACTCGCTGCGCAATGGCAATGGCAATGGCAATGGCAACGCCACGAACTACTCCAGTCCCGGGCCCGAGAAGCTGACGGTGCTGGACATGACACTGGACTCGTTGGGCCTGCGCAATCTCACGTCCAAGGATATGGGCACACTGATAAGTAAGCCCGCACCCAACTGTCTGTAATCTCACTCGAACTAACCCAATTCTACTTCGACCTCAACAGTGCTGGGCTCCATGTTTCTGCTATTTGTGATAAGCGTGACCGGGTTCTTTGTAATGTGGTTCACCGACTACTACAACAACAGAATGCTCGAGGTAAGTACAGATCTGAACATTTGAATATTTCAACATATCCCATTAACATTACAGTTTGTTACTCGTTACTTTTCACTCGTTGTGTTTCCACTCGTTACGTTTCAGTCTCTAGATCTTACTCTTTACTTTCCACTCTTTGCTTTTGTGGCGTTAGTTTTCATCTGTTTAAGCTTGCTCGTTATATTGCATTCGTTACATATCAGTCTGTACCTTTCACTCTTCACTTTTCCATCTTTACTCTTTACTTTTCTCGCGTTACATTCTATCCGTTTACTCATTCTATGCAGTTTACTCGCTACAGATCACTCGCTCTAGCTCACTCGCTACATTCTACTCGTTTATATTTACTCGCTCCAATTCACTCTCTCCACTTCACTCGCTCTAGTTCACCCGCTACATCTTACTCGCTTATATTTACTCGCTCCATTTCACTCGCTCCACTTTACTCGCTCCACTTCACTCGCTTCACTTTACTCATTACATTTCATTTCATTCCCTATGCCAGCTCCCATTTCGAATATACAATTTGGTCACTCGTTAATTTTTACTCGTTACCTTAACAGAATTTAATACTCGCTGAGAACTCAGATACAGCGAACAGTTGGCTCTCGCCGGATGTCAAATATGATACGCTGCTCAAGGCGCACATCTTCAACTATACGAATATTGAGGACTATCTGGCCGGACGAGCGGACAAGATGCACGTCGAGGATCTGGGCCCGCTCACCTACCAGGAGCACACAATCAAGGATCAGGTGTCCTTCAATAAGAATCACACGGTTACCTTTCGTGTAAGTCTTCCCAATTGCCAGTTCCTATGAAAATATACCAATTCCCATCATTGCAGGACAAAAAGTCGTATATATTTCTGCCGGAGAAGTCGACAGTGCGGGAGGACGATGTGATCCTGGTGCCCAATGTGCCGCTGCTGTCGGCGGCGGTGCACGTGAAGCGGATGGCCGCACTTAAGCGCCTCCTGGTGACCAGCACCATCAAGATATTTGAGGAGCCGCTGTTCAAGCGACTGACTGCCTACGAGTATCTGTGGGGCTATCGGGACAAGATCATCAGCCTGGAATCTCTGGGAGGCGGCAAGACGCACTTTGGCCTGCTGAGAACTGTAAGAGCTGATGAAACCAGAATCCACTTGAGCTACGGCAGCTAATCTCTGACCTCTACTTGCAGCGCAACGGGACGAGCGTGGACTCGGTGCAGCTGAACACCGGCGAGGACGACATCTCCAAGTTTAGCATCATTACCCAGTTCAATGGGAAGCCACAGCTGGATTTCTGGCAGGGCGACGAGTGCAATCGCATCGATGGCAGCGAGCCATCCATGTTCTCACCCACCATGCTGCAGACCCGCAGCACGGTCAATGTCTTCCTGCAGGTGCTCTGCCGCAAGGTGCCGCTGCGCTTCGAGAAGGAGGAGACCATCTACAATAACATCGATGTGCTGCGCTATCGCACGCCCCTCGACGTCTTTGCCCATCCTTCCGAGAACCCGGCCAATGAATGTTATTGCCGCAATACCGATCTCTGCCTGCCCAGCGGCGTGATCAATGCCACCCGTTGCTACGATGATTCACCAATTTTCCCATCCTTTCCGCACTTCTTCTCCGGCGATCCGGTGCTGTACAAGGACTTTGAAGGCATCAAGCCTGATGCAGAGCTGCATCAGACCTATGCCGACATACATCCGCGCTTTGGCTTTCCCATCAGCGGCGCCTCCCGCATCCAAATCAACATCATGCTGGACAAGACGCCACTGCTGCGCAGTAAGTCAAATGCCAATTCCCTACATATTCCACTCATCTCAAAGCCCATCTTTCAGATCAAGCTTGGCGACTGCAGAATGCCACCATCTTGCCCCTGATCTGGATTGAAATAACCGCTGGCGACTTCAATGACGATGTCCTGCAGTCGCTCTATGTGAGCACCTTTGGCCTGGATGCCATCCAGCTGGCGTTCAAGTACGGCACCCTGCTGATCTCCGTAACCAGCTTCAGTCTGATCGTCGCTAGCGTCTACTACCTGAACAGCAAGCGGGAGGAGCAGCAGCAGCTGGAGAAGAGCAAATCCTCTGCAGAGCTGGAGGCCCTTGCTGGTCCAAGTGCTGGCAATGATGGCATTGTCGTTGTCCAGGTCCTGCCACATGGCGTCAGCCTGGCGCATCGCGCCAATTCGTAGTGCCATTAGCAATTAGATAGGGGAGGGACTTATGGGCGGGGCAGCACAAATGGGTTTTGTGCATGGGTGAGAAAGAGCCTTCTTGCGTTGTGTGCCTTATAAATCAAGAGATTTTCGAATTTGTCACGACTTAGGTTACGATATTATTAGACTAGAACAAACAGATGTAGTTAACAAATTGTATATATGTATCATATGTATAAAGAAATGAAACAAATGTTCAATAAATGTAAGTATACAAAGCATTAATTATTACATAATTGATTGTACATTCTTAATCAATATCATAAACCACAAACATTCGTCCTCGTGAGCAAATGGTAGTTAAAATACTTGGCGACTGTGAATTCATATTCAAAGTTTAACGTCTAAAAAGTTTCGCGGTAAAAGAGCGCTGCCGTTGATTAACAGTGTATTTAACAGAGATTTACCAGAATTATACTAACTCACTGTGCACTGTTACCGCACTGTTAATTGACATCTTCAGCCCTACTACTGACTTCTGTTCGCCTGCTACTTCAGAAAAATCTTCACACGAAAACTCGGCAACGAGCGGCTGTACCGGCTGCCCCGTAACGTTATGCAATAACTATTTTACAGTGACATTTTTTTGGCCGTTGATATTTGAATGCTGCTTATAAGCAAATTAGCCTGATTAAACCCAATGTATAATTTATTTATATAACTTCCGTTTATTTTTTTAAAAATGTGAGAAGAGCAGATAATAATGCGCTGGTATCATAAGAATAACAACTTCTCTGCCCAGTGTTTCGTTTTACTAAATAATCCCTACATTCTACATTCCACATCCCTATTCTGTTTGCTCACTGACAAGAGCTGAATGAAATGCAAGCCTTATCGATAAATTGCACCACGAGAGCATTGCCAGCACTATGTAATTTGAGCCCGCGTAAATTCAAACAGACATTTGAACCATTTTTAATTGTTATAGCAAATATTTATTGTTTCTAAACAAAACGAAATTCGTATATTAGTTGTTGTTCAACATTTGATTGTTTTATAAACCTTTAGTTATTAAATGCATGTTTCGTGTATGTATATTGCATGTTGAAGGGTTTTAATTGGGGCAGGAAGGAAGTTTCTTGAAAAGTTAATACGCGTAATGTTTGTGGTTTGTTTTTATGTTGTATAATTATTTTGTTTTGCGTTTGTTGTCTTTAAGTTTTTAATTAAGAATAATAGTTTATATAAAAAATAACAGAGAAATTATATAAAAGAAACATTAAAATATAATCGTTTATTTTCTTTTTTGTTGATTTTTTTGTTGTTTTTTTTTTTTTTTGTATTAATAATTAACGCGTCAATTGCCTGAATCCTCGCCATCTAATGATTCATCCTGCACCGATGAGCTGTCGTCGCCGCCGCCGCCCCCACCGCCGCCTCCGCGCTTGGACGATGGTGTGCCCGTGAGTCGGCTGGAGCTGAGGCCCATGCCGCCGGTGCGTCTACAAATGGAGAAACAAAAACAAATGAAAACATATTTTTGATAACAGATATCTATGCTAGAGGCGGCTTAACATGCATCAAAAACAAGAGGTTGTAAGGGTCAAACAAACAATATAACGAGAGTTGTGGGGAAGTGGAGACACGCTATGTACGACATAATGCACTAAGATCTATTCCTGGAGGGGATTCGTATCGAACATTGAACGCTATTCAAACGCACGATTTAATGTATGTGTGTGTGTGTGGGTGTATGTGTGTGTAACATGCACTAAAATCTTGAGATTGCTCTTGGAATTGGTTCATTCTCTGTTGTTGGTTGGGTGAATGAAGATGTCGCCAGCACTTACAGCCTACCAAGAGGAAGCGAAGCGAAATGGAAACCTAATGCAGACCCTCACAATTCATAATGAGTGCAGCATCCTTTTTCGGCGAATATGCTTTGGCCTTTTCGGTCTCGGCCACCTGTATCGAACTATATATGTATATATAGTAACAACGTCGTCAAGCCCAGAGAAAAAATAAATAAATAAACAATACAAAAACCAAAGAAATAAAAACAAAAGTAGAAAGCAGAGTTACAATCGGCGCGCCGATGTCTGATTACTCTTGCAGGCAGACAGACAGAGATATGGACAACAAATGTTATATAATAGATAGACATAATCAGACAGACTTAGACTTAGGTGCTATATGAAGTAAAAGCATGGATCTATGCCAAGCTTACACAGTTAACTAACAGTTAGACAGACTGGCTATAAAATAGCACGAATACTATATAACAATTTAAATTATCGTCTTCTATATCATATACACATCTTGGGTATATCTGCAAGAGTATAAACTCAGACTTATAGTCACTGATACCCATCCTGCTGGCTGCCCACTGGTATTCGGCCTTCGCTTACCGCAATTTCGTTTTCAGTGAGTTAATCTCACGGTTCATGGCCTCCTGGGATTCGATCATGTCCTCGCACTCGCGCTGGTATTTGCGCTTTTGCGTCTTCTCCTTCTGCAGCTCCTCCTCGGTCTCGTCCAGATTGCGCTTGAGCAGTTTAATGCGGCTATTCAGCTGTGATTGACAGACGTAGCGGATTAATATGGGATTAACCAAAATATGATTATAGTGTGCACTCACTTTATCCATTTGCTCCTTATGCTGGTCGACGTGTCTTCGCTCGTCCTCGATGTTCATGGTGAGCTCCTTGATCTTCTTGTCCATTTTGCGATTGGCCTTCTGTTGCAGCAGACGCTCCTTGCCCTCGTTCTCCAGCTGCTCCTCCAGATTGGCAATCTTGGCCTCGAGCGTGGCAATGGTGGCCTTCACCTTGGTGCGTTGCGCCGTCTCGATCTCGGCCAGCTTGGCCTTCAGCTCCTTGTTCTGGCGTTCGAGCAGCGCACGAGCATTCTCGTTCTTCTGCGAGTTGGACTTCTCGTTGGCCAGCTCCGTGGTCAACTGTTCGATCTGTAGCTGCGCCTTGCGGCTGCGATCGAGCAGAACCTCTGAATTCGATTGCTCCTCCTCGAGCTCCTCTTCCAGCGTGGCAATTCGTGCCTCCAGCCGCCGCTTCTCATCAATCATGAGCGAACCCTTGTTGGCATTGTTGGCAATCTCCTCAGCCAGTTCGTCGCGCTCAGTTTCAGCCGCACGTCTGGCACGCTCTGAGCTGGCCAGATCCTCGGTCAGCTGTAATACTTCGGCCTCGAGTGCCTTCACCTTTCGTTCGGCTTCTTTGCTCAGCGCCTGCAGCTCCTCCTTGGCGGCCTTTGCCTCCTCGGCGTCGCGCAGCGCATCCTTGACTTGTGCTTGTAATTTCTTGGCATGCTTGAGGGCATCCTCTTTCACCTTGTTATGCATCTCCATGGTGGTCTCAATCTCCTTGAGGTCACCCTCCAGCTTCTTCTTTGCCGCCACCGCGGCCGTTCGCTGTTTGCGCTCCTCATCCAACTCGGCCTCCAGATCGCGCAGCTGCTTGACCAGACCACGCCGCTTCTCTTCGGCACCCTCCTCCTTGGCTAGCAGGTCACGTTCGAATTGCGAGCGCAGGGCCTGCATGTTGACCTCCAGACGCAGTTTGGCATCCTCGGTCAGCTGCAGATCGTCCTCGAGCTCCTCGTTTTGTGCTTTCAGCTCGGCCAACTGCGATTCGAGCGCACGTTTCGCCTTCTCCAGCTCGTGAACGTTCTTGTCGGCGGTGCCCTGCGTGTTGGCCAGGTCGTCGAGCTCGTTCTGCAGCTGCTTGCGTTTCGTTTCGAGATCTTCGATCTTGTCGTACGCCTCGTCCAGTTCGCGGGATACCGACAGCACCTTGGTCTCTTTTTCACGGGCTTCACGCTCCGCCGTGTCGCGCTCCTGGGCGATCTGTTCTGATATGGCTTTCTCTTCGGCGAGTATCTTGTCGAAGTTCTTCTGCTTCTTCTCCAATTCGAGCACCTAGTGGACGAAAGATGGATTTGGCATGAGCAACTGTTTCGTTTATTATGTGACTCTCTACATACCTTCGTGCGTTGCGCCTCCAGCTCAATGGTAGCGTCCTCGAGCTCCGACTGTATCTTCTTTTTGCTCTTGTCCAGACGATCGTTCTGTGCCATCAACTCCTTGACCTGCCTCTCCAGCGCCTCGATGTCCTTGTTGAGGCGCTTCTTGCCTTCCTCGAGCTCCTTGGCCAGATCGGCATCCTCCTCAGCTTTCTTCTTGATCTCCTGCATTTGGGCTGTGACCTCGGCCAATTTGCGCTCGAAGTTGCGCTTCGTTTCCTCATCCTCCTCGAGCTGTTCCTGCAGTGCCTCCTTCTCCGATTCGATTTGTCGCAGCTTGGAGCTGAGGCCGAGCTTCTGCCGGGTCTCCTCCTCCAGCAGCTGTTGCGCCTCTGTCAACTGCGATTCCATATTGCTGGCTGACTTGACGGCCGCCGACGCCTTCAGTTCGGCCTCCTCTAGCTGGTTGGTAATGTTCTCCGCCTCCTGCTGCAGCTTCGTGCACTTCTCCTGCAGTTCGGAACGCGCGCGTTCAATCTCCGCCAGCTTCACTTGCAGCTCAGCGATCTGAGACTCCGCCTGCTTGCGTCGGCGGTCGTTCTCCTGTCGCGAGCTGTTCACGCTACGCAGTTCCGTGGCCAGATCCGCATTCTCCGCCTCAAGGGTGCCCTTGGCCTTCTCCAAGCCGGCCTTAACCTTGCGCAGATTCTCCAGCTGATCATTGATGCCGTTCAGCTCCTGAGCATGCTTGTGCCGCATTTCGGCAAGCACGCCCTCATGATTGACGCCCTCCTCCTCGAGAGACTTCTTCAGCATGGCCAGCTCCTGCTCGCGCTTGGAGCGCAGCTCCTGTTGGGCTACAAACGAGTAACGAGAGAAGCATTCGATATAGAAAACATTGTGGACAAAGCATAGATTGTCGCCTTACCGGCTGTGGTATCCAGTGAGTCGAGCAGCTCGTTCTTGAGCGCCTCCAGTTCCTCGCTGAGATCGCGACGCAGTTTTTCAGCCTTGCTGCGCGCCGACTTCTCGGCCTCCAGATCCTCCTGGATCTCGGCTAGCTGGGATTCGAGTTCACGCTGCGCCTTCTGAGCGGCGGCCTTTGTGGCGGACTCCTCGTCAATGCGCATCAGCGTTTGGGTGAGCTCCTCCTCGCGCTTGGCCAACTGGGCTTGCATCTCCTCAACCTGGACGCGTCGCTCGTTAAGCTGCTCCCTGAGATCGGCTACCTCAGTTTCGATTTTGCGCTTGGTACGATCCGATTCCTGGCGCTGCTGTTGATCCTTGTGCATGCGCT